TGAATTATATTGGAATACCACAAGGATATACACTTCATAAAAAAGAAAACATAAATGTTTAATTGCTTTTGATTCCAGGTATAGTATGGCCAGTTTGAATACATAGTAATGACTTTTGAATTGGGTAATTGTCCAATAGTCTTCTCCTGATTCATGGAAGAAATCTCTTCTGATATTTTATTTATCACATTTAGAAACTGCCCATCTTCCTCACAGAATGAGCCATGAAAGTGTACATGTAACATAAAAACCTAACATCTATATATAAATATTATATTAAAATGAGAATAAAATATTTAAAATTCAAATTTTCAAATGTTGAACTTCATATTTTTGACAAATATGTATTTGTGTAGGATTTTAGAAGATCCATTTTTGTACAGGACTCGTATTAAGAGTGTTTTAGAGACAAGCTTTTTGTCTAAACTGAAAAATGAATTGTTTAATTTTCCAATCTGTCTTTCCTGTACAGTGGAAAGTGGAAGTCATGTAAAACATGCATAGGAGATGATAGCATATAACATTTGTAATTCTCTGCTCTGAAAGTGTAATATATAGGATTTTAACTTTATAAAAAAATTGAATATCGTGTTGTATAACTGCTTAAATAATTTTGGGGGGGAGGGGGAGCAGTTGAGCAAAATATTTTGAGTTGTATTCCAGCACATCTGAAAAGATCTGTTGGAGAAGACTGAGTTACAATTTCAGCCTATAAGAAAGAAAACCCAACATTAACTTTTCACAGTGTCAAAATGCATCAGATGTAGCATGGAGGATACTGTACTTTCACCTTCTTCCGCGAGCAGTGAATAAAAATATTAAAAAGTACACATAATTCTGCAGTAAATGCTTTCCTTCCAAACTATATATATCCTTATAGTTCATGTCTTGGCTGTTAAAAATTCACGTTATATATATACCATACTGATGTTTGAGTTACTGAGCCAAAAGCTTGAATCTATATATATTTATTTGAATAGAACTTACTGAACTCAGCAAGGCTTTCAAGTGAATTCAAGGAAAGCAATCTGACTTTAATACAAACTCTACAAAGGACAATTATGCAAAAATTGCTATGCTGATTATTTTTAGTTACGAGCCATCTGTTTTCTGAAACTCCAATCTTTTACTTCATAGAGAATGCCTGCCCAACCAAGTGTTGTCTTCTCAGAAACTTCCAAGAATTAAATAAGACAAAGAATTTCTTAGAATCATATTATGTTGGAAGGAAGTATGTTTAAAGATCACCTGTTCCAGGAATTCCATTTTGCAACATCTCTGCCTGTCTTTAAATAACTCTAGCAAAAAATATTCTACTATTATTCCATGAGGCAGCCTATTCCATTATCAAATGGTGCTTACTGTTAGGAATATTCTTCTGATGTTCAACCAGTATTGACTACTTGTAACTTAAAAGCCCCTGGATTTTTATTTTATTTTTTTGAAAAAAAAAAAAACATTACTTGCAATAAAAGTGGAGTTCCAAGAAAGGAGACATTTCTCAGAGAGAGAAATCTATCTGTGGAAGTATGCAGACAATACAAGAATTTGAAATATTTGTAAAAAACACAATCCATCACATCTGGTTAGATCAACTAGATCAGTGGTTCTCAACCTTTCTAATGCCGTGACCCCATAATACAGTTCCCCATGTTGTGGTGACCCCTAACCACTTATACATCACCGGGTGCCAGGGGCGTGGCCAAAGAAAAGGGGGAAAAAATGGTGGACAGCCTTGTTTGGCGACCCCCATGAAATGGTCGTTCGACCCCAAATGGGGTCCCGACCCACAGGTTGAGAACCACTGAACTAGATACATTTCAGTTTTTATATCATATATATATTTGACTCACTCAACAAACTATAATAAATGCAGTATTACATAAACCTGGACATGATCTTCCACACTTGTTCCTCCTCCTACTAAACAATCCAAGCAATTTTGCTCCTCTTCAGTCATTAGAACCCCCAGAATGGTTGGGGGGCATGGAAGCACTAGATCTGCTCAATTGGATTAGATTGCTGCATAGATAAAAGCTTCAGACTGATTCCTTTTTCTGTAAATAATGGATAGTTGCCTCACAATGGTCAATTATATATTCTTCTTTCAAGAAGGAATATTGCAATTCTTCCATGAGACTCTTGGATGTGGGAGATTGTTTAAAACTTTGTATCACGTGTGTAGCAAGTTCTGATGGCTGAGGGGGAAAGCAGATGACAATTATATTTCATCCTAATATGTTTGTTGATAGGCAAAGACTTTGTATGGCTGGCTGGCTTACCTCGGGCACTTCCTTCATGTCCAGGATTTTTAGATTCAGTTTCAACTGATTTTAGTTCTTTCTCCTTGGCTTTGCCAATATAATGTGGGGCATCCAGAACTGAATCTATATCAGTTATACTAATCTGTAAAACTTAATGATACATTCTCAGTATGTGGTAGTACTACTTTGAGTAGAATCAGACCCACTTTCTTATTAATGTAACAGTATCTTCTGGGATAGCCAATGATGTTGTTTAAAATCTACCAATCTGTCAGAATTGTGTTCCCTTGCATCCATGGGGCCCTTGGAGTGACTGGTTTGGATACCAGGACTGTGACAAAGTGCTTCTATCTAGTCCATTTGTCCCTAAGGTAGTTGAAATTTGTCAAACTGGGAAATTAATGTTCTATTTTCAAAGGTTCTGACCACTTCTGATTAGGTTGGAAAAAGTCAGAGTAGTTGAAAATCTCATTTTTAAAAATGACTGAGAATCTCATTTTAAAATATGTAGATGCTTTTGAAGGCAGTAGTAAGATGAAATCATATGTAAAACTCACTGTATCCAGGGTTTCAATTTTTTCTGATCTATTATTTGAAAAGCAGGGAGAAGAGAGATATGTTGCTATGGGAACCACGACATCTTGGTTTGATACAGCATATTATGAAAAGATACCTAGAATGAAATTAAATCGTGTATGTGTACATGCTGCATTGTTCAACAAAACCATATTTTGTACAGGATTTTGTTTACTATTCTCAACTCTGACAGGAGGGAGGGAAGGAAAGGAAGGAAGAAAGGAAAAAAGTTGAATATTTGAGTCCACATTATTACTCTATTACAACAGGCTTCTAGGTTTTTTTAAGCAAAAGTTTTTGGCCAAATAGATTGTATACATAAAGATCTTTGTTGACATGTAGATGCAAAATGCTAACTACAGTATATTGGTTTTATAATTTTGTTTTGAAGATTTTCTTAATATTGCCAATTAGCAAAATATATGACATTAATAAATATCCTACCTTCTACAAAGAACATCCAAAATGTTTTCCAGTATAGGTTCAGGCTAGGAATTTAAGACTAAAACCCTTTGTTGTTTAGTGCATTTCAGGAACTGGATTAGGTACAGATTGCAACTGGTTCTTCTGGTCCTTTCAGTAGCATTACTACCATGGATTATTGTATCTTTCTGAGGCATTGAGCCAGTAGGGGATTTTGCTAAAGTAGCTTGGAAAAGTACTTGTGTCTTTTGTCTACCTGAGTAAACACAGAAGAGCCTGCTGGAGGACTCTGGCTAAGTTTTAAGGCCGTGGCCTCATCAAATCTCTATTTTCTCATTATCCCTTTAAACATTCAAAAATTCAAAATATTCCATGATATTCTACTTTGTAAACTAGCAAAAAGTGGTTGGTTGGCAAGAAAATTAAATGGATATACAGCTGGTTTGAAAATATTCAGTATACTCATTAAGTTTCTCATCAAACCAACAGGAAATGTCAAGTGGGTGTTGGACAAAAAAGCAGTGGGAATAGGAGCAAGTTCCGACTTCCTGATGGCTTGCCCATTGAGTTTCCTTGTGGGAAGCTGGTAGGGAGCCTCAGAAATCCTTCCTTCTTAATAAAGGATTTATTAGACCCAGCTCAAGAACATAAAACTATCCAGCCAAAGTCCATTTCTTTATTTGTTCACACCAAATGTGATGTGAACAGACTGAACCCAAGTTACTCCTCTTACCCTAATGGATATACCCTGAGAGATTCTAGGAATGGCTATCTCTTGATTCCTATCCAGTTGTGGGGTGTGTTGTCTCCTGTTTTGCCCCTTTCCTTGGAATGAACTCCCTCTTGAGAAACTGCCCCTCACTGTAGCCCACCACACCATCACCTCCTTTGTAGGCACAGTCCATCACAGGGTATCACCAATACCTACTCTCAGCAATGGATTTACATTACAGAAAAGCTGTGAATACTTTTAAGATATTGAAAGCAGAAGCTATATTTGTGTTTGCTTGCACCCAAAGCACAACACTGATGAATGCAGATCCTCAAGTATTACTAATGTTGCTTGGCAAAACTACTTAAGGACAAATTATTGTATTTGCATCTTGTAAAACTTGTTTAGAATTATGATCAATTATGGCAAGATATATTCAGCAAAGATTGCTTTTCCACAATCAATGTTATAATGCTATATAATTTTTAATCTTTCCATTCACAAAGTGATTTTATTTATTTATGTTTAAAACATCTATGGAATGGAAGGAGAGGGATGAAAAAACAGAACTTTTCCTTACCTTTTGTAACTTCTGAAATAAGATTTAAATGCAAATGTGTAACATTAGTTCCTAATATCAGGGATGAATAGTGTTGCTGTAACATAATAAGAGTCTTGAGCCAACCTTACAATACTTGTACCCACCATGCATCTCAGCTCCTAATAGTACAAGTTAATAGTTTAAATTGAAAAATAATTAAAATTAGATTTGGTAAATTTTATATGTTTCATTCTATTTTTCCTATAATTATTTGTAAATGAAAGCATTCCTTTTCATGCACAAGATCAATTTAACAAGGCAAGTTTTTCTTCTCCTAATTTTACCTTATGAACAATTTCTATACAAGGGTGATTTTTCAAAGGTTTTCCCAGTCAAAATGAATCTTGTCTTCCATTTTCTTTGAGGTTCAGTCGGATGAATGTGTGATACATATCTTTATTTGATTTGAAGTTCAAACACTTTATACAATTTTAGAAATGACTTTTATTAAACTAGCATTTCATAATATTGTCTACACCGTGGCAATATTCAGGAAGAAAAAATCATTTGGATGACATTCAACATTTCAATATGAATAATCTAGAATGTTTTGCAATCTTGTTGAATGCATTCAACATCTGACATCATGCCAATGAGCACTGCATTACTATAAATTTTCTCCACGTGGAACTATTAATGCATTGAATTAAAAAAGACTATAAACGTCCTAAATTGCATGAGCAATTAATGTACCCATTTCATGCTCTTAAAATCAATTTTTCCTAGAGATTATAGACCTGTTCAGTTACATATACGGCAAAAACATATTAGAGCATTTAAACAGTACATAATTTATATTTGCTGACTGAGACAGTGATTCATCTGAATTGTTTACATATCTGATACACACAAAGAAAACATTACTATTCCTGAGTTTTTATACAACATTTATTATTTCTATTTCTTAATTGCTAACTAATGCCACCTTTCCATCAAATGATGTTCAATAACCTTGACAACTTGTCTTGATAAAACTTGAATGGAGAGGGCCTGGTAATTTATAGTTCTAGTGAAAAGATCAATTATATTTATAACACATAAATTAATATATATATATATATATATACACACACACACACACACACACACACACACACACACACACACATACACACTGATGTAGAATAAGATAACAATTCCAAAGTCTCTTTGAAAAGTTCTAATATTTATAATTTGTATATTAGAGGTTTCAATCTCAGTTCAATTCTTGATTATGGTCACTGACCAATATGTGTTTCAATTCACTTTCCATAGATAAAATGCCTGCCATTCTCTTATTTCACAGAAAAAAAAGATAAAAACTTGAAAAATTTGGGGAATGTATGTTGCTAAACAGAAGGTATCTTATAAGAATTCATTCCTTGATTTGATGGCTACAGTCTACGTGTTTCTAATTCTACTTTATCTTCCGTCTGTAATGATTCAGATTCACTTTGAGCAACAGGTGGTCGCAGTATAATTTCTGGGCCTCCTCCATAGATTGACTTTAGAAAATTCCATGTTTCTTCGGAAATCTGTCCAGAATTAGCTCCTAAAAGACACACATATTTCCATAAAGTTCACCTGACATTTTAAAAGATTAAATCTGGAAAGCACTTCAGTATTTATAAATACATAATATAAAAAGCTCAAGTTTAATATTATCTGGAACAGTCTGCAACTGTTTGCTGTGATACAAATGATACAGCTCAATCTATTATCTGCCATTTGATATTGTTTTGCGTTTGTGAGTCATTATATAAAGGGAACCTATAGCGAATCTTGAAGTGAGATAATTCTCTGACAAATTTTACATATTAAAATACCTGTTCACAGATTTTCAAATTTTAATTTTTGCACCACAAAGGCAGAAGTGTCCATATTTTTAAACAAAAAAATTATGTTCAGAAAAGCATTATAGCAACAGATGATAAAGCTATTTCTCTACAAGTCATGTTGAACTGTATATAGACTTTTAGAGACAAATTCAGAGTTCCTTTTTAAGAGCAATGACGTGTCAAATACAGATTTCAAGTACCGCTCCTATTTAGTAGTTAATTCAACTAGATTACAATCTAACCTGTTGACACAGCAGTATTTAAAGAAATTTTAAGTATAGCTGAAGGCTAGAGAATGTAAGTAATTTCTTCTTTTCTCTACATTATGTGAAGATGTGGATTATAGTGAATCTGTATGAGAGGCTAACTGGAGAGCCAATGAATTCAATCAATTAATCAGAATAGAGCCGGAAGGGACCCTGGAGGTCTTCTAGTGCAGGGGTCCCCAAAATGGCCACCAAGCTGCATGAAGGGATGGCGCTTGCACTCACCCCCCCTACACTCAGCTAGTGCTGCCCTGAGCATTCCATCCCACCGGCGCTAACACCACCCAGCCCCGAGCGTCCCACCAGCACTAGTGCCACCCAGTGTCCCACCAGCGCTAGCACTGCCCCGAGCATCCCACCGGCTCTAGCGCTGCCCCATCCCAGAACGTCCCAACGGCATTAGTGCCGCTCATAGCGTTCCGACAATACTAGCGCCGCCCCATTTGCAGCACTCCTGCCCATGCAGCCATTTGCACATGTACTCGTGTGGCCGTTTGCATGTGCGCATGCATTCGAGCATGGCCCATTTATGGGTACACGAGGGGGTTCATTTTTGCATGCGCACATTTGCAAGTGCGCATGTAGCAGTGCCTACCTCCCTTTACAGGCCGCCAAACCAAAAAGGTTGGAGACCTCTGTTCTAGTGCAACTCCCTGTTCAAGCAGAAGACCCTATACCATTTCAGACAAGTGGCTGTCCAGTCTTTTCTTAAAAACCTCCAGTGATGAAGTACCCACAACTTCTGAAGGCAAGCTATTCCATTGGTTAATTGTTCTCACTGTTAGGAAATTTCTCCTTAATTCCAGGTTGCTTTCTCCTTGATTAGTTTCTATCCATTGTTTCTTGCCCTGCCTTCTGGTGCTTTGGAAAATAAGTTGACCCCCTCTTCTTTGTTTTTTTATTTTTTTGTTTGAATTCCCCATTCCTCTACATTCTGTACTTTTAAGAATAGAAGGGGATTATTTGTTGATGGAATGGTTAATCCCATAGGAAAAATGTACAGATCATATACAAAATGATCATAAATGAACATGACCACTGGTAAATTTGCATGCAGAGAACTATCTGTGTATTCATACCTTGTTTCAGAACAAGCAAACCACATTTACCGACACCAATTTTGGTATTATCAATAGGACCTGGAGGATCTAATGAAATAAAAAGTATGTTACAATGTAAGATAATAATACTATTTAAACAAACAAAAGCCTCAAAGAAAATCTCTCTCATATTTTATAAATTATTTAAAAACTCCACATAATAAAATGTAGCAAAATACACATTTCAATCATTGGTGTATAATTTGAAACAACTACATACAATTCAAAAAATGTTATTTATAACAGAAAGAAATCCACCTACTAAACCCTTTATGAAGGCTCCCTAAACTACAGATCCAAACTGAACTATTTATCTATATGCATAGTTGCCATGTACTTGGATTAGGTCCATTTTCTATTTTATTTAATGTGTGCAGAATTCATTACACTGCCCTGTGATTTTACTGTAGTATTTACTACCTAATTTAAACTATGTGATCTTTATATAGCATTTGCTTGCAGTCTCTTTGAATTACAAAAGTACTCACCGCTGTCCTTGCCCTTCACAAATGCTTCCCATTCTCTGAACCATTGCATACTGATGCAATAAAATATAGATGGAGATTCCTCCTCTTGGAATGCTCTATTCAACTGAGAGACAGACAAAAAATTTTTTAAAAGCAGATGTGAACAACCCTAACATAGCTGCCTCAGATTCATAGTTACTGTCCTCAAAACTCTCCAAAGTTACAAATAGTAAATGCATATTCAAAATTAAATGCTTAAAAAATGTTGGATCAATGTTCCTATTGTGATTTAGAAAAAGAAAAGTTATTGAGATGAATAAAAGAAAACCACATCTCTACATAGTGTCTGCTAATGTATCTATATACTTCTAAACCTCATCGTTCCTATAACCTTCAACTGAGTGAAACGGTGCATCGTAGGGTAACAAATTTTGAACCAGGATACCTCAAATGAGCTAATTTACAGAAGGCATCCAAAATCCAGAGGCAATGACATCCATGGAATAGAAATTTTGCAAATTTTATGAAATATGTTATGACATAACAATCATAAAACAGTTTATGGCACATACAAAATGTCATAAAACATTTCCCTTGTTGATGTTTAGATCTGCTATACAGTTCAACATGGGCTATGTTTTAGGCAGATAAATTTCTGAAGGTATCTCAACTTTTCCAATGAAGGCAGTACATTAGGAGTTTTGTCACTGTTGAAAGCATTGAGGAACCTAGTAAGGAAATATTTCTGGAAGGACAATCCAGCTAATCAAGGGTTGCCAATTACACTACAAAACCCCTATGTGTAATCTTTAACTGGGTGAAACAGTGCATCATAGAGCAATGGTTTTTGAATCAAAGTATCTCAAATGGCCTAACCTAAAGAATGTGTCCAAAATCTGGAACTGAAGTTTAACAAATTTTGAAAAACATTTTATGACATAAAAATTATCATAAAACATTTTATGATATAACACATTTCCTGTGATCAATTCCTGATGTTTGATTGTGCTATACAATTCTACATGGGCTACTTTCAAGGCAGATGCTTCTATGAATATCTGCTGAATTTTAAAGAAGGAACTAATCTCTGAAACAATGACTCAATGGTCAAGGATTGTCTAGTTACCATTAAAACTTAGGGCCGTGATGGTGAACCTGTGGCATGCAGAGCCCTCTCTATAGGCACATGCGCCGTCGGCCCAATCCTAGGCCTTTAGCTGGGTTTTATAAAAGCTTTTCGCTTTAGGCCTCTGCTGCCGTGTGCAAAAAAAAAAAGGTTCAATCAATTTTAACTTGCGGGGAAAAAAAGATCTCGCAAAGTTGGAATTGATTGATTGAAATTTTTAGTTCACCCCAGTCTGCCGTTACCACCACAGCCATGCCCACCCAATGGGCCACACCCACCCAATGGGCCACTCCCACCCGGCACCCGACAATACATAAGTGTGTTTTGGGTTGCAGTTTGGGCACTCGTCGCCATCACTGACTTAGAGTGTACAATGTTGCTTAAAAGTTCATGAACTCTTTAAATTTCTGCATAAATATGACCTAAAATCTGTTCTCCATGCAAGTCCTAAAATTAGATAAAGAAAAATACTGAAAATTCAAAAGGGTTCACAAACTTTTAAGCACCACTGTATAAACTCTAATAATAATATACTTAAAAATGTATTATTGAAAACAAATGGATTAAATACATCTTTAAAAAATCTTCAGCTCCTGAAATTTTCATACTGTTGCTTTTACATATCTTGTGTAATGCTTCCTCCTGTAATAACTATTTCCTTTTCAGTTAGAAGCTGTTCTTCACAGATCAAATCAAATATTCTATGATTTTTTCTCAGTTCTGAAATTCTATTATGACATGCCAAAATGGGATCCTAAGAAAATATGAAACGTTACATTTTTATTATCAAGAGTAATTATGAATCATTTTGAATAATTTCAAAATATTAAGCTTGGTTTGTATGTTCACTTTCTATTTGCAATGGAACTTTGATGGGTCCTACTAGTGAATAACTGGGGTAGAATATATATTTTATTTTCCCTTTTCAAGTCCATATCTGACTACATTGTTTTGAAGAAGCACTCAAACTGTTTGGGGACAAAGAAAATGTGTGAAATTAATAAAAATGTTGTGTATGTAGCTCACAATGTATCAAGATAAAAGCTATTAATTTAAATATTTGTAACTCAAACAAATATAATTTAACAAGATAGAAAAAACATATTTACCCGAATAAACATTTCCAGTTCTGTCTTCCGTCTTTTTTCTATTTTTTCTGTTTCCATTTGACATGTATAACATACATACAGATGATTAACTGCTGGTCCTCCACCATACCTGTGATAATAAATTATTAAATAAATCCCCATATCCTTTAGGTTTTATAGAATCAAACACTATACTTAGGAAACTCGTTTTTTGTTCAGATTTTTTAAATTTTAATAGAAATAAGCCACACATCTCTGAATTAGTTGTGCACAGTATATCTATTATTCCCAAACTAGTTCTATCAAAATGTGAATGTCCTTTTTTACACCTAATTTAGAAATAAGGTGGTTCTACTGTTCACTTTTGTCCAGATCATGTACAAAACAATATTGCTTGTTTTTATTCTATTTTCTAATACATTTTTCATTGTACTGTTTCTTTGTGGCTTCAGAATCTTTGATTTGTTATACATATTTTGACCAAAAAAGTTTGAAACATAATAAATGATTTTATAATAGTTTTTGTCCTACTTTGCTAATATACTATTTTTTTTTTAAAAAAAAGAAAATCTCCAAATGCAATTAAGTGACGCATTTTAAAGAAAACTTAGCCATTCAACGATAGATCAAAGCTTAAATTAAACTACAATGAAATAAATCTAAACACTTACTGGGGACAGAAATGTTATTCTATTGAAAACAGCAACACTAAACTAATGCAACTATAATACCTAATCACATCATTCTACTCACAGATTGCTGTTTGAGCTGTCAGATGTCTTTGTATTTAGAAACAAAGTGAAATTAATTGTTTTTTTTCTTTCCCTAGTCCTGAATCATCCTTGTCTCATGCCCATCCAGACACTATCTGATGGGTAGTAGAGGAGAATGCATTCAAGAGAATAAATGAAAACAGTAAATCTGCCATCTGTTTATAGATGCTTTGCTGGATTAAAGAGGCTTAGAAAGTGCCAATCCACCAAAGGATTCAGTATAATGTTTTATAGTACACTATAAGCAGATTTTACAATTACCATCTCTTTGATAATGTTCAGGCATCAGATGTAATCTGTTTCACGATTAAAAGTTTACCTGCTGTACAAATTATCCCATATGTTCTGAGGAAGCATTACAACCAGATCTTCTATAAAAGAAGCTTTGTATGGAGGAACTCCTATGGAAAAATAGTTTTAAAAAATTAAATATGATTTAGTTAAAGGGGAGTAGAAACCTTCAAGTAATACAGTTTGTCAGCAGCAGCAAAAGCATAAAATATCTTTGAATGAAAGAAACAACCTCCCACTGTTTTATATTAAAGCTAATATATTAGCTACCGTGTCTTTCTAAAGATGAATATTGGGACATTCGGTCCTGCACTGTAGTGACTGCTCGCGAGCTTGCGGACAGCGGCACCCCCATGGCTAATTTTTGTCCTGCCTGGAGACCCTAACTAACGGAAGCAGCGAATTAAAATTTCCATGGAGGATCAAAATATATGGTAGTGAAATAAATTTATAAACTTGAAAGCTAAAATTTAACTTTGGACAAGTTTAAAATTGTTGAATGGTTAAGACTCTCATTTTAAAGACCATTGTTCATATTGAAAACTAAATAGATGCTGACACCTAGTGTTGGATGAAGATTATTACAGATGATTTCCATAGAGAACTTGCCAAAACCTGGGAAAAGCTAATCTGTGTTTGTGACCTTCAAAGCTTTAATAACAAAGAACAGCTGTGACAGAAAAAGACAACAATCTGAGCTGCAGACAAAGAAAGAATTATAAATTTTAGAAAAAAAAATCTTTTTTGAATTCTTTGGATTACAAATATCTATTTAACCGGGACTCTAAAGCTATTTGCAGATAAGAAGGAAAACTTCAGCTTTTGGCCATCATGGATCAGAGACATGTAGATATAACACACCAAGAAAACATAAATACCTCTCAGAAGGAAATATATAGTATACTGCAATTAATTCAAATAACACTGAGTTCAGATCACAAAGAAATCCAAAATAAATTTGAAAATATAAATCAATCTATTTCTAAGTTAACTCTACAACAAAAAAACTTCCAGGAAACAACAACAGAGAAGGAGGAAACAAAACAAATAAGTGGACATAAAACTGAAAATAGAGACTCAAAGACGGAACTTAACAAATCAAGAAAACATGATTTAATCCTAGTGGGAAATTTTTTTACAAGAAATGGAAAAAATAACTCATCCCTTAATACTACAAAATAAATCTGAGGACAAAAAACAGATTGGATAAAATGGAATGTAGAGATTTTGAAAACATCAGAGAGAAAGGAAGTGATAAGAGAAGCAAAGAAGGAAAAAAAGAAAAAGATTTTCAAGATTCATGGAAAGGCAAAAGCCTCCTAAAGATACTCTATTCGATTTACTTCTTATGCCTACAGCAACAGTCATGAATATATGGGGAAAAAATCTGATTCAGCAAAACACATTGATCAAGAAAGATACTGGTCAAAGGAAAAAGATTAAAGTGAAAATTAAGAATATAGATGATGGGATCTACCAGAGGGAATATATATATAAAAAAACATTTGTTTGAATATGGTTAAAGAAATAGAAAAGATTCTGAATATATATGTCATTCTAAGAGGGATGAATTCCTTAAATAATATTGTATGCTTTTCCCCCTTTTTTATTTTATTTCTTGATATAAGTAATATAATACTGTTGAAATGGCTTAGATGAAGGAATTTCTTTAGATAATTAAATGTGTTTGAATTTAGGGAAATTATAATGTATAAAAAAGAAAAAATTGTTTTGAATAACAGCTAAAGGATTAGGTGACTAAATGTATTAAATGGAATATTTAAAGATTAAATATATTTTTAATTATGGTTAAAAAGAATAAGAAATTTTGGAATGAATATATGTTAGTTTAGTAGGAATATATATTTTAAGTAGTATTTTACTTTTTATGTTTCTTTACTCTTGCTCTCTTTTCCTTTTCTTTACTGTTTTTACCTATTCTTTAAGAAATGTAAAAGTGTTCAGATGGTTTATATGGGAAAAATGGATTTAAATCTTTAAATGTAATTAACTGTTGAGAAAATCTTAACCAGTAAGAATACTTTGAACTTTATGAGAGAAACAAATCTAAATAAGGATTGTAACAGGATATAAGATGAGGCAACCAAAATGATTAGATAGAAAAGAAATATTATATTAATGTGATCATTATTTCAAGGAATATTGGGAAAAATCATATATGTAATTTATCAAAATAATAAGAACTGTATTAATTCAAGGTTTGCAAAGAAGACATTTTGGGGAGGGGGAAATCAACTAAATGTACTATGTGGATTATGGATTATAGAAACTAATTGTTAATGATTTTTCTTTACAAATGTAAACCCAGCAAGTACACTGTTTATCAACTATTAAGTTATTTATATTTTAAAAAATCAATAAAATATATGCAAAAAAATGAATATTGGGATTTACGTTCTTCTAAATTTGTTAACTGTGGTTAAAAGATGGTACATAAAAACAATCAAAAGCAAAACTATTTCATGAACATTTTTTGACAATGATTTAAGTTAAAAATAGAGAATGCCAAATTTGTCACTGAAAATCAAAGTCTGCAGTTTGCTTTGTATAACTGTCCAAAATTATTAATGAAATTTCTAAATCTGGTTAATATTGCATATCACATTGTGGAATCTACCTTCAAGAGAAATGACAATCTTTACTAACAAAGGACCAAATCAAGCTGACTGATAATCTTGAATTTCTAATTTAAATTGATCTTTCTGACAGTTGGGATAATTTTGTTTCTAAACAATTAAAGTAAATTCTTAATGTAAGAATTATCAAAAAGCAAAATGCATCTTTTCTCACCCCATTTTACTATGCAGTCAAATTTATAATTCTGAGTTTCTACCCCACAGATACTGCAATCTAATTTATCTTACTACAGAATTAAACTGTAACCTAACAAGTCACAAATAGTAATTAAGAACATATATTTTTTTTACTTTCAATTAGTAAGTTATCCAAAGTTTGTGTCTGTCATTCTAATAGTGACACAGTTAGCTTTACATTTGAAGAAATGGATTCCACATAAAAAAAATTCAGGCTGTCATCTTCTGGATAATCAAAAAAACAAATTGACTACAGAGTGATATTCTCATTTAATAGAATAAAAATTCCAATTAAAAGATGTGAGGACAAAAATACACAGGATGGCAAAAATAATGGTCAAAACCTCAAGCTACAGAAAGCAGTAGAATATATTGTTCCAGATAATGAAAAGTTATCTTCGTAGGAGAATAGTTTTATATGATTGCAGTCTCACCTCCATGTATGCAGAGAAAATCATTATTTGAAATAGGTCCTGGTTCAGCAAAAGTTCTAAATTTATTCAGCCATAAACGTGAAATATAAAATTGAAGGAGGCTTGGTTCCATAACATTAAGGCTTGACACTCTCTCTCTCTCTCTTTTAGCTTCTTCGTTACTTTTTCTTTTGAAAAGACACAATATTAACATTAGTTAATATGTATGCTGTTTTGAAATGAGTACTGTTAACAACAGATAATCTCTACATGTTGATGATGAAAAGGACCTCATCCAAGTTTGAGTTGAAATAAACCAAGAATCCTTTTTAGATCTGTATTACTTTGTTTGACTAAAAATATTCACTTTAAGATAGCTAAAGTTAATATTGGATAGTATGTGTTAATTTTCAATTTAAAAAAGCAAAGGTACTTCAAATCTTGATATATTCCAAATATTTGAGTTAAGCTGAACTCTTAAGAACCAGAGAAAAACACATTAAAACAGATTTGCACTACTGTCTCCCTTCTTTTTCTTCCTGTGAGAGCATCGACTAAGCAAAACTCTACTCAAATGATGCTTTCGCTGACAATGACAACCTCTGCTTCTAACCATTGTTGTGTAACTTCACACTTGCTTTCTCACCTGTAGAAGAGAACATAAGCTTCTGCATTTTGGACAGTTGATTCTGTTACTTCTGTGACACTTTGATCATCAAACTCATACCATCGATTATTTAAATTATTTCGACAATAAGCTATATAATGCCCATCTAAATTAAAGAACAAATTTAGAGAATTTTTTGTTTTAAAATTGCAGGAAAAACAGATTGGTACAGATTAATGTAATAAAATTTTTACATCAATTGCATAAAATGTAACACGGTATGCATAGTCTACGAAAATACTGATTATGTATACTCACTGATTGCAGTTCCATGGTGGCAGATGACAGATAAAAGGTCATATATTGCTATTTGAGCAGGACTATCTTTAGTAAGAAAAGGTTGAAGATCAAGTCCTTCCAAAGGAAAGGATACATGAGTTCCAATTTTTGTGGAAAACATAAGATCATGTCTGAATCTTTTGAGATGAATACATAAAATCTGTGAAAAACAATTCACACTTATTTGATGTTTATCTTTTATTTTAATAGTTAAGCAAGATATTCCTTATTAAACGGCTAATGACTCTTTTATTTCCTCATAGAAAATGAAATCACCACAGAAGCCTTTATTTAATCTCATTATTCTGTAGCACACTGTGGTTTCTTTAGGGAAGGGGGTAATGAAACTGAACGTCTAAGTCCTTTGTGCAACCCCCAATTTTCCTCCTTTGCTCCCAGTATTTAGTAGTGGGTTGTTTTTACTGCTCCATTTGAAAGTGCTTTATGACCTCAAAATTACATCATGGCTATTATATGATACAGCTATCAATCATCTATATTTGTTCGTCAAACTCCTTGCCAGATATTCTTCATTAGTTATTTCTTTTAAGATTATTGATTTGGTTGGGATCCCTGACATGCAACTTGTGATCTGAAAAATGTTGTGAACAACATGGCAATAACAATTATTATTATGCTTGGCACTTTTCTACACAAACATTGCTAAAGCAAAACTACATTGACATGACATGAAACTTATGTATGTACTGCATATTTTGTTAATGTGTATGGATGTACAATATTGTTGTTTATATTTCCTTAAGAAAAGATAAGTTTTAAAAAAACCCCAAAATAATTCTAATCTTCTAGAAAACTTTCAAATTGTGGAATTTGTCCAAAAAGTATCACACTGATCCTAAATGATTCTAATACAACTCTTTGTACTCCAAGCTATAAGTAATATTTTATCCTGAATTATTTTAGTTATTAGGTAATTCTCAAGAGCTTGGCAATAATTCAGCTGACCTTTGCTGATCTTAGAAGCTAAGCAGGGTCAGCCCTAATTAGTATTAGGAGGGGGACAGCCTGGCAATGGCTAACCACACTTCCAAGAAAATTACATGAATGCAATAGCCAGGAAACAAATTTGACTAGTGTTTAATTCTCAACATTGAACGTCTCTTAAGCACATTAATAATGAATCATCTTTCTAGTGCACCCTAAAGTTACGAGAAAAAGACCTAGGAAATCTTAGCCATAGCATCACCTGAGCTATAAATGTAAAATACTACACTCTTTCATGAATCTTGCTAACCACTAAAATTGTGGCTGAAAAAAACAACTTCGTTGAAGCAGTTACACAGTCTGACAGAAAATGTAATTCAGGATAGAGACCATAACAACATACAGAAGAAATTGATTTATTTTGACTGTTATCTGCTAAAGTGTTAAAAGATTCATCCTGGAAAATGAAGAAATAGAACTGAATACAAATCATGTTACATTAAGTAATTTGTTGTTATGTTCACACTGTTTATTATAAAAAGGAGGGGAAAAGAACATTTTTATCCAGTAAAGCAAAGCAAAGGACATTACCTCAGGGAAGTGTTGAACTTTGCAGAATTTTACTCCATTTCTTAACCTGAGATAAAGTTCACATTTAATAACATTGTAAAAAATATTGACCACAAAGTTAAAAAAATTCTAATACGCATCTTTACTATTTTAGAAATGCTGACTAGAGAAAAATGGAATGGAATTAGAAATCTATACTTTTTCCCACAGATTTCACGATATATAAAATAAACATAACTTACTATATAAAAAAATCCAACATATATATTGGTAAAGTATTAAACTCAATCAGAATAATAATTGGGTGTAATTTCAAAACAGCAGGAGCACCACTTTGACACTAGTCAATTGCAAAAGGCAGCTTTACTTGGAACAGCTTACATCCTACAACGATATCTTTAATATTATTAAATAACATATGCCTATCCCAGGTCCTTGGGAAGGGCTTAATAAGTGGAGAAAAATACCAAATCTAATCTAAGCATCTGGCTGACTGTGCGACCAACTATAACCTATATCAGTGATGGCGAACCTTTTAGAGACTCAGTGTCCAAACTGCAACCCCAAACCCACTTATTTATCACTGGGTGCCAGTGGCCGTGGTGGTCATGGCAGACTGGGTGGGCGGGGCCAGGGCAGTGGGGGCCAGTCCTCACCATCTCTGGGACATGGCACGCGTGCCCACAGAGAGGGCTCTGAGTGCCGCCTCTGGCACGCGTGCCATAGGTTCGCCACCACTGACCTATATTAATGACAATGAAATGCCTTTTCTTTCCAACTATTTATTTATTTCCTGCCTTTACAAATAACAGGAGATGGCAAACATATCCAACACACCTTCCCCCTCCTGTTTTTCCCACAACAACCCTGTGAGATGGGTTGGGCTGAGAGTGTATGGCAGGCCCAAGGTCACCCAGTTGGCTTTCATGGCCAAAAAGCAGCACTTGAATTCAGTCTCCTGCTTTCTAGCCCAGCTGCTAAACCACTAGACCAAACTGGTTCTAATGGAGAATATATGGCTGTAGCTCTGAATTACAAGTTTTAACTCAGAATATAAAATGTTTTTTTTTAGTGTACATGTTAAGATTTTACTGAATCCTGACTTATTAAGAACAAGTAAGTATGCAGTACCACTGTTGTCATTTGATATCTTTTCAAGGTTGGCCAGGCCAGGAAACACTCCTCAAAGACTACTGGACCTCTATTGTGACAGGGTCTAATAACAGACTCTTGAAAGCCTTACAAAATTTTTCTCACCTTCCCCTCTTACACCCTAAAGAATCAGTCAAGGCAATCCTAAGTTTCTTTCTTACTGCCTCTTCCTTTGAAAAACCATCCTGGCTTTTAAATAACTGTGCTTGTATTCAATTTTTTAAAGTTATTTCTGTACTACTATGCAGTGGCCCAGATAGAACTAGTATGCAGTTCTCATTCATTCAGCAGGTGGCAGCTGTAACCAGGAGTATCTTTGCACAAAGCTTTCTTGTGTGCCAATTGTATTCCTGCCTTGGTCAAGAGGTCCTCACAATCACTCATGAGGCTACTTTTGTAGACTACTCAGAAGTTACAACTGGTCTAGAATGTAGCCATGCAACTATAGGTACTTGTTATTTTGCTTACATAGCTTTGGTAGGCTTTGCTTTGTAGGTTATTTGTTTAGCTCTTCATAGTTTAGTTTAGTTACCTAAAGCAGGGCTTTTCAACCTTTTTACCCATTGTATCACTTTTAGGATATGGCAACATCCGAGTACCATCAGTCGCCTAGCAAGCTGTCAAAAACTTGATGACCAAAAAAAAAAAAAAGGAAAAAAGTGATAAAGTACAGGTAGATCTCGACTTACAACAGTTCGCTTAGTGACTGTTTGAAGTTACAATGGCACTGAAAAAAGTGCTCCCCAAGCCACAGCCAAGCAAGACACCTGCCTACCCACCCAGCCATGCTGTTCCTCCTGTCCGAGGTTTTCATTGTTGTAAGCATTTCTGTTGAGGATTGGCAGTAGGGGTGGGGTGGGTATTTGGTTTTTATTCCCCCCCCCCCGTCTGCTGGGTTGTTGTAGCAGGTTTTGATCACTTCACATGACCCTGGGACACTGTGACCATCATAAATATGAATCAGTTGCCAAGCATCTGAATGTAAATCACAAGACCCTGGAGATGCTGCAACATTCCAGCTGATCGGCACTTCTTCTGGGCTCAGCAGAAGTGCCAGGATCAGTGCTGCTTTGCAGCTGATTGGTGCTTCTTTAGTGCTCAACAGAAGCATCAGGATCAGCGCCGAGCTCCAGGTGGAGCCTGGTGCTGATCCTGGTGCTTCCACTGAGCACTGACAGAACCGAAGCACTAATCAGCTGGAAAGCGGCACTGATCCTGGCGCTTCCGCTGAGCTCTGACAGCCCTGCAGCTCCAGCCATCTCTCGCTCAGGCTTGTGCGGTGCTGCAACTGGTTCAGCTCATTCCCCTCCCCTGCTACCACTTTTCTAGGATGGTCGCATACCACCTACCAGGTGCCAATGTACCACAGGTGGTACCCATACCACTGGTTGAAAAGCCCTGACCTAAAGAACTGTCTTTCTCCTGTTGTTTCCACTTGACTAGTTAGATCTAAGAGAATTGATAAGTCCCAGTTGTAAACCAGGGCCTAGGAAACACACCTTCTCAATAGCTGGGATGTCCTGCAGAACAGCATTCCCCCTAAGTTTTACATGGCTGCACCCTATTGGGCTTTCGCAAAGTTGTCAAAACCTGACTCTTCTGACAGGCCCTGGGGCAGGATACAGCAATCAGCTCCCTAGTGGTGGCTGGCTGGGAAAATGTTTGTTTAGTTATTCTTCATTGTTGCATATCTTGCATTTACTGCTGATCCTACCCTTTTTTAATTTACTTATTATTTTTTGCTTAATAGAAAATAATCTTAGCAGTTAGTTCATATCAAACCATTCCTGTTTGCTAGAGGCAAATTAATCTTAAGCATCTTTTTATTAGGTTTCAAGGGTGTTTAGGCAGTTTTTCAAGAAAGCTTAAGAAGACAATCAATACTTAAAACTATTTTTAAACAAACATTAAATCAGAATGGTTCATATAAAAGGCCTGTTCTTGGCCAACTGAACTGTGCCTGTGTATATTTCATACATACATTACATCATGTTCCTAGTTTCAATAGCTTTATTAATGAAAAAGGTAGAAAAGTATAGAAATTATATATATTTAAATGTAGATCACTTACTTTTTACATTTTTCACAACTGTACATATTGTCACCTGCAGACATTGTAAAGAGGGAAGGATAACCATTATTCTAAAACTACAAAATACTTTTCTCCCCCTCAACCCACACTAAACTTGTTCGATTTTGTGATACAATAAATTGATCCTAGCATTTTATAAAATACATCCTCATGAATTGGAAAATTGTTCTTAATTGAAAATCCAGACTGTGGTTTTAAAGTTATTCTTTTGCAATTATGTTTTCTGAATGTTTGTCCTTGAAAATATTTCTCAATTCAGTTTCAACAATAACACTGTGGGGAAAACTCTAATATGCTTTCTATTCTGTTAAATGTGAAATGTGATTCAAAACAATAAATCACACACAGTAGCTAAATTTGATGTTTGATAAAATATGAATCTCTTACCTTTCAATTCATCTCTGGCAAAAAAGGCAGCAAGACAATCTTGTAAGGTTACTGTTGGACCCCAAAACCAGCTAGGGACACATGAGACAACAAACCTGAAATATCATTGATAGAAAAACAGCAATTGTTCTGCTGTTATAGCAGAAACATTAGTGCAGAAGAATTATTGGAGTAGTAGAAAGAAAACAACTAACCTTTTGAAATATTCCACAAAAAACGCAATCCAACCTTGAGGAGCATATGCTTCACCACAGGATCCTGCCTTGACAAGAGAGGTCTGATGATTTGCAGAATGCAGCTTAGCAAGATCTTCCTTACCTGGAATAGGTAAAGACAAATCCTGGAAAGTTTCCAGGGTAACTGAAACCTACGGAAAATAAACATAAAGGCTTATTTGTCAATATATTTAATCAAATTCTATAATTACATCTGCTTCTTTTAAACTTCTCATAAAACAAAACATAGCAATGCTTATCTGCAATTATATCACTTGATGGGAACTGACATATATTTAAGTTCACTATAAAAGTGCATAAATATAAGTTACAGGTTCACTGTAAAGTATGGATAAATATAAATATGTACATAAATATTGATAACTATTAAAATATAAATAGTGCACAGGATAAAAAAATAAAGAACTATGACCAGGAAAGGAACTAATCAGAATGTTTGTATAATCTAACTTGAATAATCCAAGAATTGTTTATATATATTATTTTTTAAAAAAAAGTCCACATAGAAAGTGAGAAATTTTGCATAAGCACTGCAAAACTTACCCGATCACATGTGAGACACTGTACAGAACTTAAAATAGAACCATCAAATATATCTGATATAACACTTCGGTATTTTTTGTTTTTCTTCTTTTTAGAGGAAAACGCAGTTGGAACTAAAAGAACAAGAAAGCATTACAAAATATTATTTGAACTGTCCAGGGCTAATTAACAGTAATTTCTACATGAATTTTGGGAAGGCAGGCAGCTGACGTTATTTTGCTCATTCGTTATAATTCATGTCCATGTAATTATACCCTCTCACCCCAATGGGAATCAATCCACCCTACCGTGCCAGCAGAGAGGGCATAGCATGGGCTCAATCAATGAGGGAATTCTAGTGGGAGGGGTCCAGGAGAAGAGACCTCTCTACTATGGCCGCTGCCCTTTGTAACATATCCTGAGGTGAGAACTGCACCCGATCTTTCTGACCTTCCATAAGGGCCTGAAGTCCTAGTTCTGCCAGTGGGCCTGGGGCCCCAATGGGGGGAGTATCACTCTGGAAGTGATTAATAAATTGAGAGAAGACCCTACCTCTGTACGTGGTCTTTGTGATATTTTTTTAGCATACTTATCTTTTTTAACATTTTTAACATTTCTGATTTTAATGTTTGAAAGTTGCCAAGATTTGCCTCTGGGTAAGATGGGTGGCATACATAAATCCAGCAAACAAATAAAAATAAATAAAATGTCTTCAACTTCAGGGCCAACTGGTCTCAACTATAATTCTGCACAAAATATGGCAATAACCATAGACTGTTTACAAGCAATTTTCATCTGCAATCTGAATTGTCACAGCCAATCCAGTATCTCAGTTTTATATCACAATATTTATATCATTCTACCTCGTGCATGTATCAAAAAGATGATCTCATTTGCAATTCTTTGAGACGCTGAAAGTATATTCTAATAGACATGGAGGGATAGAGTGAGAAGAAGTTTCAAAAGTGGAAACGCAGCTGGGTTTGGAGAAACAAACAGGCAGTCCTCAATTTATTAGCTGTTAAAATAGCACAAAATATTTGCAGGGCTATTTTAGTATATATCCTGCCAAAGTAAGCTTTCAATGGCACTAATCTACCTTACTTGATGTTGAAAAAGCTAAGCAAGACTCAACTAGTATTTGGAGACATTTAAAGCAAAATAAAAAGAAAGCAATAGCAAACTATTTCTTTGTTGTAATCAAAGACATATACATAGAATCTCACTTAAATGTTAGCTTTCGAACAGGAGATAAATTTACAAATGTACAAAATTATTTCAGTTCAATTCAATGCAATAAATCAGAAAACAAAAAAAAATTCAATGAGCCTTACTAGAAGTTTGAAAACCCCGCAAAAAGAAAGACCGTGATATTATTGGAAAATAGCACTGTATTTAAACAGTGCTTTGACAAACCTAGTAAAATGATGCAACCCCCCAAAGGGCAAGCAACAGATAAACAGAAATTGCAGTTCTAATGCTTAATCCCTAGATAAAAATTGTCTTGCCTTCACTTACATTGTTGCGTTACTTTTATGTCGATTGGAAAAATGGCTGGCAATTACACAAAGTGGACAACTTTGTAGACTGCAAACCAATGTCTCTCAACTTTAAGATATGTGGACTTCAACTCCCAGAATTTTCATGCCAGCTGGGGAATTCTACGAGTTGAAACATCTTAAATTTTCCATTTTCCGCTCTTCAAAATGTATTCCAAACAACTGAAAATAGTCTAAACTCACATCACATACTTTGGTAGCAAAATGGCCAAATAAAAACAGATTTGGATTGTTTGGGGAGGCTGGTAGGACTAAGGATGGAAATGATGGAAACTCTTTTCATTCCCACTTTTTAATAAAATAAAAATGGGTTCTGCTATGAAAAGTATGTGCATGGGCATTTGCATGCATGTATATATGTATGTGTGTATTAGAATTAACTCTACAAGAGAAAAAGTTAACTATTTGTTTCCATGCATGAGCTATCTACATAAGTAAATTTATGAAATTTATCAAATCAATGAACAAATGCCCGCATTTCTTATTTATGAACATATACTGTAATATACACTATATTCTAGCCTCTTGTACATCTCCCTCGTACACTGAAGTTTTTTTTTTCTTTTTCTAACTCTAAATTATACATTTGAGAGGATATACCTGGAGAAAGCTACAAATGTCATGGTAATAGGTGAACTATTAAGTGACTTATTAGAGAGACTAAAAATTGCAATAGAGGTGAATATCTGTAGCTCGGGTATAGGATGAGGGTGAAGATTCGTTCTCCGAGCTTGTGGGTTGGTTTCCGAACGTTTTGTTACCAGGCTAGGTAACATCTTCATGGTGTTTTTGACATACTACAGAATCATTAAGTGTTATCAGAATCACTTGAGTAAGGGCACAATATGGCACACTAGTAATTAACAGGTTTTAAAGTAGAAAGGATGCTGCATAATCTTGAAAAATACATAACGGAGAAGGCAAATGTTAGGCAAGTTCATGAAATAGAAATTTATGTTGTTCCTTTGGACACTCCCTAATCTTTGCCTGAGCCTCAAGGATACACATAACAGGAGACAAAGGAAATTAAGAATTAGTTCCATCAGCATGACATCACTATGTAACCCAAACTAATTTTATGCATGTATGTCTTTTAATCACTTTCAAATAATATTCATACATTCACCTGAATATCTGCTGTGTATTTGTACCTTCACTGTTTCCTGGTTATTCAAAAGTTCAGCTGTTTCACGGAAACTGTTTATATCTTTTTCTGTGTTGTCCGTAGAATTTGTTCTATTCATTTTGGTACCCAAGGATCTCTCTTTTCTATAATCTTTAGATGTATTTTCATCCTCCTCAATTAACATTGCATTTTCTGCAGGATCATCTGCCACAGGTTTTGACCAAGGATCGTTTTCTACCTTATCATCGTTAATACATTGAAAATCTGCATCTGATGGGCATTTTTCTTCTTCCATTCTCTCTTCAACGGTTGTGGTGCTATTATCTTCTCCTGTAATAACAGTTTCTTTTAACTCTTCATGAAGCAAATCCATTAGACAACGTAGAAATTCCTGGGCATCCTAAAATTTAAAACAGGTAAAATACATATCTGACTAATGTGATAGCTTTAAAAAACACTAATTAGAGTAAATATGTATGAAGCAGGGTGTAGATGTAACATACTGTACTAGTGTAACATACTGTTCTGCTTTTAGTTACTTCCATTTTATAATGTGATTTGTAAAAGTATAGGGTTAGATCCAGAGTATGCAGGGAAGAGACAGAGTGGGATTTTTTTCAGTAGCTCCTCTTGCTCATAAAATCTCCCTGGGATGTCTATTTTGCGTATCAGACAACCTTCTAGATAGCTTGCGCCATTGCATGAAAGATTTAGACAGAATAATGTCTGAATTTTTCTCCTGCCTGATTTTTGCAAAAGAGCCCTTGAACATCAGAAGATGGGGCAAAAGAAAAGCGACATCACCAAAGTCTATTTCCTTTATACTAGATCTATTACTATAATTAAATCTAAATGTTGTATTAATCAGCATTTTGAACATTGAAATGAATTTGTCATTTACATTATTTTTAAAACAAAAAAATATGGTCCTAGCTCTCTTCCTAGAACTTTCTGAATAGAAAAAAAAAAAGCTTTCTATTGCAAGGTGCTTATATTACACCACAGTGTAGATATAAAGCCTGAATTAATCAACTTAATTGAATAAAGGAGAAATATACAAAAAAAAAAAAATATCCAGCAGTTTGCCAGTACATTCAACATTCATTATTTCTGTTTCACTAGATTATAACTATACCCAGTATCTTTTTTTATGCATATATGTTTTACCTGTGTTTTTATTTCTTTGAAACTTGCAACTGTTTAGCAACAATCATTTTAGTGGCGGAAAAACAGGAAAAGCTTACTTGTTGCGAATAGCCTCGAAATGTTGGATTAACTGCTTTAATTCCTTGAAACAAATTTGTGGGGACCACAGCTCCAGGCCTGGAACAAAAAACACTTAATTTTGTTTACACTTTCTCAAACTGAATAGATTAGAGCAGGGGTCCCCAACCCCTGGTTCATGGACCAGTACCAGGCCATGGCATGCCAGCAACTGGTCCACACAAACAAGCAAAGCCCCATCTGTGGGATGCAGGCAGCACACAAAACCATGCATCCTCTGGTCCACGGAAAAACCTCTCTCCATGGAACAGATCCCTGGTGCCCAAAAGGTTGGGGACCTCTGGATTAGAGTACTTCAGTATACCAATGTTCAGTTTAGCAAATCAGTAATACTGAAGCTAGGAAATTGTTAATTTTACTGTGTTAATATACCACAATCATACATAGTCTAACACGATTTACTTCTATGTAAATATATACAGAATCTACTCTACGGATGGATATGGTTTCACTGGTGAATAGTCAGAGCTGGATGTTGCTTTTAAATATAATTTTTTTGTTTAAAATGCTTTGCTATTTATTAAATCAAAGTATTGATTATCGTTAAACCTAAGAAAATGAATAGGCAGCTATAGTAATAATTGCAAACCAGAATTCTAGTTCATATATTTATTACTAACAAGTATTCCAATGGTGTGTTCCCTTCTATAGAACTGTGAAGTGGAAGGTTATCTTTCAATGTTGAATTTCTCTCCTCCCAACTCTGATATTCTCAAGTTGTTTCAGATGACACTCCAATCCTGCAGATCAGATGTTGGAGGTTCATCATGGAATTTGAGGAATTTGTATGAAGAAAAATATGTAATGAAATGTTGGATTTCGTTCTTAAGATTGTATGTATTCCATTATTTGGAAAGCATTCACATCTGAAAAATATTATAAACCAGACTGATTTATAAAAAAAACACTATCAAAATGAAAGTAACACCATACCTGCTTTTATGCCAGAGTTCTGTTATAAGTTTGTAATAACTTCTGCAAATGGCTGGTTTTTTATCGGTCCTAGCTAAACTCCCACAGTCAAGGAAAAACTGTGTCAATGGGGGACTGATAAGAAAAAAAAACACAAACTAGTATTTTGAAAGAATGCTACATATATCTATGGTTCTTCAAATTCAACTATCATATAAATTCTTTATCATTAAACAAGCATTTAATGGTCAATGTAGTCAATAATATTGCTGAATCCTCATGCATCTTTTCAGCATGTTAAGAACAAATCTTCTTGTATGTCATAATCGGTGACAACAAAAGTTAATTTTGCCATTTCAACAGTCAATACTTAAGCAAAATATCTGTTAGATCAAATATATAAATTGTTACTGGAATATAATTCAGGATTGCATGATTAAAGAGATGGAGAATTTAAGCAGGGTAACTGATGTGTAACACATGGCAGGGGTCCCCAACTTCCGGTCCATAGACCAGCATTGGGCCACAGCATGCCAGAGACTAGGTCACGCAAACAAGCAAAGCCCCATCCGTGAGATGCAGGCAGGATGCGAAACTATACCCCCTCCGGTATGCGGAAAAAAACTCTCTCCACGGAACCGGTCCCTGGTGGCCAAAAGGTTGGAGGCTGCTGACATATGGGAATATCAATAGAAGGTAAATATTAAGTTTACCCTGAATATTGACATTTGTTTTTAGTATTATATTAATTCAGCACTGACTGCCAAAATGAATATCTCCTATTTTAAAGAAGTAATGCACAATCAGGTTGGATTGTTCTTCCACATTTGATGCAATTTTACAAAGCTGAACAATTTTAAAATATGATCCTTTCCTTTTCTACCAATTGTTTTTCAGTTAAGCATCACCAAGCCTTATATTCTCACAAAGTATATTCAATTGGTTTTATATGTAATAATCACTACTAGACACTTTCTAGTAGAAATTATATTCAGTCCCTTCAACAGATAACTGGTAGATTAAGCTTTAGGAATATGTTTCAATGTCCAAAAAATCATATCTAAAAAGTTTGATAATAACTTAAACTATAACTTTTCACATAGCTTTCTGCCATATCTACAGTTGGTTTTTTTCCAATGTAAGGTTTTAAAACTCTAGATTTTAACATTTACTGCTTCAGATAAATTCCAAAGTCTTGTTTATTACTTTGACTGCAAATCTTATCATTTCAACAACTTTTATCAATTTCTGCTCCAATTCTAGTATCAGATGTTCAGATGTTAAACTATTGTATGATTATATTTGTTCAAATTAAATATGACTTGTAATTTTTTTAATGTTTTGCAAATTCTTTGTGCAATTTGTACAGTTTGTAAATCTTAAATATTCCCTTTTCCCCAATTTCCTTTTTTATTTTTTTTCTTTCTTCACTTCTCCTGTATCTCTAAAAAATAAGTAACAATAAACCTTACTGAATTGACATCTGAAATATATATACTGGATTAATAAAATCAATATGGTAGCTCATTACTGAATATTATCTGCTGAAGCAGAACTTTAGCATTATATCAAAGTAGATTTCAGGTTCTTTTATTTATCCATGAAACAGGAAGTAACTAAAAACCTATGTTCTTACAAATTTCCAAGGAGAAAAATCTTTCCAAAAATTTTGTTTCCTGTTCATGAAAATCTTCAGAAGCTGGAAAATGTACAGCTAGAAACTTTTAATATAGATTAAAATGTATTTATTCATTTATTAAATGTATATGCTGCCAATCCCATCAATAAGTAACTCTCTTACATGACTACTTATTTATCTTTTATCTTTTCCTTAGATTTGTGACTGAAATTTCTGGCTAAAGGAAAGGAAAACACTAACAGTTTTATATTCATTTTTTTTACCAGTTTGAAAGTGCTTGTAAAGCTGCATTCATGTAGCAGGTGTTTCCAATATTTCTCAAGCCCGTCAAACCTGTATATAAGAAACACTGCTTAGCAAGCCAATTAAAAAGTTACAGTGTGTACAGGATATAAATAAGTCTTCATTCTGTAGAAATTTAGAATCCGCTTTTTTTATAGTATTTACAGAATTTCTGAGTATTTTTTATCCTGAAAACAATGTTTCTATAATGCTATCATACAGAAATCTGCATATATGACAATGTGTGACATTTGCCATCTAACTACATTCCCATTTTTAGGCTATGTTCCCATGAGAAACCAAGCACATCCTAGCAACAGAACATTTTTGTTAACTCTTAAAAATCAATTAATTTCAATTATATTATTAACTTGTTCATTTAATAATAGTCATGTGAATTACCCTATTGTATTACCTCTAGCCTTTAATTCATCTTCTTCATCAACTTGTACATCTAGGTCATCAAATGTTGCAATTAAAGGAATTTTCAGTGTAGGGATACTAGGTAGCTTAATATCCTTAATGAAAGATTAAAAAAAGCAAATTCTAAGTAGCGTTCTTCAAAAACATTATGACTTTTCTTTTTCTTTTTCCTAAAGAAGGTATTTATATCAATTTCCAGCATATTTTTTCCATACAAAGCCAAAAGTTTAATGATGTATAATATCATAATTTCACTGAATAATATAACGTGGCTAAAAGAAACTCTCATGTAGGAACATAAATCTGCCACAACATACTGTCTGGCAATAGAAATGGTTTCATCTGCTTTACAGAATAGCTGCATATTATAAATTAATGATGCAATAGCTTTGATGTAATATTTTGGGATATTTCTTAGTTCTGTTATCAGATAGATCATAGTTTAAATAAATATTGTGCACATAAATAAACACAGTCTATTCACAGAAGGAATTGAGGCATGTATAGTACAAAAAACATGCAGTAAGCTAGAACTATTTTATTACTTTTAAGCATATTTCTACATAAATATATCTAAATCAGATATTCTTCTCTTGTCAATCTGCAGGTCTTAATATTAATTTTTTAATACTCTCCAAAAAAATCCTTGGTGAGGAGCTGTTTGGATACAAAGCCACAACACAAACATAACTTATATAAAAATAGCTATATTACTGTCTCAATTATAAATACTGATACATATTTTGATTTTCAAGGAAATCACCTATGATTGCAAAAATAGTTATATTTTGTTAATGTTTATATTATAGCATTTATAAGCACAATTCTTTTGTAAAGGCATACATTTCTCATATTAAAGCTTCTTTTAAAATATTTTTCTTCATGCTATCAGACAGAAGAATAAAACTCTCCTTTCCTAGTTACAATATTACAAATCCCAACAGGAATAGCAAGAAATGTTATTTCCCTATAAAATCCTAGTAGAATTCATGTGTGATTACCTGTATGATATGTTCAGGACCAGGGGAAGATAACCGTACATTTTGTAAGGAAGAATGAGTTCTTAGCTTTCTATCCAGAAACACTTCTTTGCTGCATGCGTAACACCAGACACGAAGTGTTGTAAGATTAACTGTTAAACAGTGCTTTGTTTCCTAGAAAACAAAATACTAATAAATGAGATTTTTTTTATTATGGTCAATACCAATATGAAGTACACAGTATAACTCACTCTCTCTCTGTACTGTACATATACTGTATACACATTCAGACACAGTCTAAATCAATCCACTGCAGCTTTATTAATGATTATAGACTCTAATTGTCCCTACTTTGGTCCTATGCTTTTAGTATACAGATTTTTTTTACTTTCCAATCGAGAGTCTAAGAGTGAGTGAATGAGTGGTTGTAAATTAGCCAATTTGCTTCTTTAAGAGACAATTAAAACCTGGGATTCTCTGCTCCTGATATAGCATTTCAAATACTAACTCATATATTTACCCACCCACCACCATTATTGCCTTATAATTTGTACTTTATATAATCTTTAGCAGATCATGCACAAAGGAAAATGAGGGAGAGAGATGGTTAAGTCCACATATATTAAAAGTGAACAGTTTCAAGGGAATATCATACCAAACAAAATAACAGCAAATCTCCTAGCCCTGTATAATTATTAGTATCTTTTCCATGGAACAGAGCATTTCTTGTTCAGATTAATGTTGTCTAGAGCAGAGGTCCCCAACCTTTTGGGTACCAGGGACCGGTTACGTGGAGAGAGGTTTTTCCACACACCGGAGGGGGTGTGATTTTGTGTGCTGCCTGCATCCTCTGGATGGGGCTTTGTTTGTGCGGCCTGGTTGCTGGCATGCCGTGGCCTAGTACTGGTCCACGGACCGGGGGTTGGGGACCCCTGGTTTAGAGTGTGTTTCCCTTGCTTCAAGAATCTCAAGTACTGCAAAATAATGCAGTTTTACTGGTTCAGAATTGAAATGGTGTTTTGTAATCATTTCTCTTCCAACATCAAGTTTCTACATAATGCCCCCTTTAGTAGAAATGTTTTGGGAATTACAAGTTCAATCATAACATGTTGTAATTTTCATAAACATTTATCAAACAAACACATTTTACTTCATTGCATACTGTGAACATTAGTAGCTATTCACTTAGTTATCATATTACTAACAAAAGTATCAAAATATTGGCAAACAATATACACGTCAAATAGTTTAATACTTAAAAGCAGCTTACAAAGATTATATTTTACCTGTTCCATATACCTTATTCAGTGTTCAGAATAAACATTATCAATATCAATTTAGATGACTATGATTTTAATTAACCATTCTTGAACAATTAAATAATTCAGAATTACAACTTGTTTTCATTTCCTTAGTTTGTCTAATATTTTCATATTTTTATATGCTTGTTTTCAATTTTTTTTGCTCACTGAATTCCTCAGAAAAATAGTATATAAATTACTGAATAAATTATACATAATTGAATTATTCGGGGATTCCAACATAAAGCTATTCAAATTTCTGTTAATCATGCATATAAATAAATCATTAGAAAAATGTGGTAGGACAGAATGCTATGTGTAACCACAGAACACCAAGAAATTCTGAACTGTGAAGATTGTATAAACTGTCAGATGAATATGAAAACATACCTCTGAATGTATGGTGCTATGATCTATATGTGACTCCCCACAACCAACATAGGAGCATCTATTCTGTTAAACCAAACAAAGTAAGCATTAACAAGATGCAATCCATTACAATAATAAACACCTAAACCCACTGCAGGTTTCATAGGAAATGGAAATCATCATCATCATCATCATCATCATCATCATCATCATCATCATCATCATCATCATGTTGGAAGATCATCAAGTCCAGCCCCCTGTTCAGGCATGAAACCCTACACCCGTGGTGGCGAACCTATGGCATGCGTGCCACAGGTGGCACGCAGAGCCCTCTCTGTGGGCACACAGGCCTTCAGCTGGGTTTTATAAAACCTTTTTGCTTTCGGCCTCCACCGCCGTGTGAAAAAAAAAGTTCAACCAATCAATCAATTTCAACTTCTCTTGGGAAAAAAAAAGATCTCGCAAAGTTGGAATTGATTGATTGAACTTTTTAGTCCCACCCAGTCTGCTGTTACCACCGCAACCATGCCCACCCAATGGGCCACTCCCACCTGGCATCCAACGATACATAAGTGGGTTTTGGGTTGCAGTTTGGGCACTCGGTCTCTAAAAGGTTCTCCATCACTGCCCTACACCATAGAAAATAACTACTACAGTGGTTCTCAACCTTTTTAATGCCGTGACCCCCAACTGGTCGTAAGTCGAGGACTACTCAACCAGTCGTAAGTCGAGGACTACTCAACTGGTGCAGCACCGTTTGCAGAATGGGACTTTTGGCGGGCTCAGCAGGGTAGAGACAACCTGGACAATTCCTATTGGCTTTTGAAAGCCAATAGAATTAGACTATTCAAGAGAGTCTATTCTATTGGCTTTCAAAAGCCAATAGAATAAAAGGGAGTAGCACAGCTAAGGAAAAGGGGGAAAAAATGGCGGACTGTGTTGTTTGGCGACCCCTGTGAAATAGTTGTTCGACCCCAAATGGGGTCCCGACCCACAGGTTGAGAACCCCTGAACTACTAGAATCACCTTAAAAATAGAACAATGATAGTGCCAAAGAAAGCCTTTGAAGAGGCATGGTGAATAAGATTGTGGAAAAATATTTATGGAAAGGACCAAAATAGTCATACTTGATATTAACAAATCTGTTATGCAACCTTTTGGAACCATTTTAATTAATTCACAGCAAAGCATTTTCTATTTACGTTTCCATAAATAATTATCCATTTTAACAGTACAAAAAATTACAAAACCAGAAGTGAAATGCTATTCCCTTCAATCACCATATAAAGGAATTTATATTCTGTTAAAAGGATTTGTATTTATTTTAGAAGCTGAATGTAAAACCTACAAATTAATGTTTTGCTCTTGTAATAAACAATCCAGCTGTTTATTTTATTTTTAGATTCAGTACAGCATCATACAGAAACTACAACTGAATTGTTTGGGGAGACTCTCTGTAATAAAATTAAATATCTTGCCTAGAATGATGTTTTTGTTTTAAACAATACCTGTTTTGACAACTGTTGCACCAATTAAACAGTGGCAGAAGGATATATCTAGATTTGTGTGTCAGGAAAAAACACGAGTTAAATATATTTCAAGATGCAAAGGAAAGGAAAATGGGGTCTACCTATTTTAAAATTATATTCTGCAGCTTGCTTTTATTTTGTAGTTTACAGCTTGTATTTTGGATTGGATAAAAGAGGGGTGTTGCTGAGAAATAGAAGACTTAAGAGTTAGAAGAATGCATGGTTATTTGTGGTACAATAAAATTAAGGTTAATGTAAATTTTAAAAATCATTATGTTAGATGTGCCATATTGAGAATAGACCCAAACACAGATTGTGCTCCGAAACATTTCTATGGCTCTCAGCACAAGAAGCATTTTATAGACAAGGAATAATAGGCAAACACAAATAGCTAACTTATCGTGAGATACAGGCAGTCCTTGACTTAAGACTGGTCGCTTAACACCCTATTCAATAGGCACCCTATTCAACAATTAGTCTTATATGGCCAAACTTTATCCGTAACCCTATAATTACTTGAACCAAAATATATATTATAAAAAGGTTTCATAACATTACATAATGATCTTTAACATCGACCAATGCTTTCCAAATGCAATTCATTTATCTGATTAAAGATAAATGACTATGATAACATAGAAAGCTTATGTTTATAAGCATGGTTAAAAATTATATCTCCCTGGAAAGTTGTTATGCAATTGAATAGTTAACAAAAACATAAAGAATGAAATGCATCAATTTATTTGAATTGATATAAATTCTTAGTATAATGTTAAATTATTATAAGGAAGTTTATATGCATGTTACACTAAATTCTTCTGATTAAAAGAATTAAGAGTTAAAATATAAAGTGACTTCAGTAAGAAAACGTAGGCACATGTTAAAAAGTTTTTCATATGCCATTCCATTTATGTAGCAAACTATTTTTTCACAAAAGAGACTTTATAAAACTATATGGTTCTCCTCAATTATCTTAAAAATGTTCTCTGGAACAATGTAATAGGAACTTAACATACATTTCATCCCACATTTCCAATAAAAATAGAAAGTTAACCTGTGTACTGTGGTTCGACTGTTAGAGCACTAGATTTGATTGCCAACTTTGCAAATGCTAAGCAGAGCTCAAAAATGGATTTGAAATGTAGCCCTCATTAAGAAAACAATATACAATTTGCATACAATCACATCATCCAGAAATTTCAAAGAATCCTAGTTATGACTAGAGATAAATCACAGTCATTGATGAATAAATAGTGGTTGCAGAGTTAATGCCTGGCAAAGCTGCATTTTCAGAAAGAGAAACTCTTAGTCATTGCATATTATATATGTTAATTCTGCTTACCTCTAAGCATGCCCACAGATTTGGTCCTTTTACCTTGCAGTCTTGACAAGTCCCCTATAAAAACAACAAGGAATCAGGCAGTTAGTTAATAAAATTAGCTAATATGGAACAAAAAAGAGAAACTCTATTATTATACTGGAAATACTAAATACTTATTGCATAACAACTTAAAAACTATTATTTTAAAATAGATGCTTATTTTGATTTTTCAAGTATTGCATGTACAAATTATGTTACTAAAATATTATGACATTTTTGGTTTCAAAATCTTTTATTAATGTACATTACGTCTAGTCCATAAATACATGGTATGTACATTCTCCACTTAATAAATTAAGTAAAACTTCATGACTTCTTCCCAATCATTAATTTAATAACACCTTAACAACTAACACACACTGACCTTACTTAAATGACAAAGATGAGAATTTAAGAATGAAGCAAAGATGAATACAACAAAAAGATTATAACAGAAACTCACATGAGATTTGTGTATCAAGTCTTCTTTGGTTATCTCACCAACAGATTCCAAATGTGAGCAATCATTGTTTTGGTGTGGCATTTTAATTGCAGTCACGTTCAAGTATTTATAAACAATATCGTCTACATATCAAGAACAAAATACTATTATAGTATTATGAAATGTAACTGTATAACAAACAATATGCAGCAAAGTTTATTAAAAATGAAAAAGATTATATATTTTTATATCATTTATATTAACATTATGGAATGAATATAGAATAATGCAAAAAAAAAAAAGAATGGACAATTGAAAACTAAAGCTATGAAAAGCACTGAAAAGGGGCAGACTATATTAGTACAAATGAATCATTCCTCCAAATATGGCTGCTTCATAAACTGTCATCAGCCATATGTGCCTATGTAACCTAGCAAAAGTATTTTTGTGCATGCCCATGGGAACAACTTTCAAAGCAGTTTTGTCAGTCTTTCAAAGGATATGGGTACTATAATGCTTTCAGAAGGAGTGCCAGCAAGCTTTGCAAAGATTCCCTTTCAAATACTATTTTTGTAAGAAATGCTTTTGATACACAATTAAAATAAATCAAATGCTTGCTTTACAGTAGGACTTGTTTTATAATATCCTGGTACTTGTTAGTATATCTAAATCAAATTTGGAAAACACTTAATAAGAAAAACTGTGAATATACTCTATGTAAGAACCATGGTGGTGCAGTGGTTAGAATGCAGTACTGCAAGCTAACTCACTGCTCAATCCAGGAGTTCGATTCTGAACAGCTCAACAGCCTTCCATCCTTCCGAAATCGGTAAAATGAGGACTGAGATTGTTGGGGGCAATATGCTGACTCTGTAAACTGCTGTAACTACAGAGTGCTATAAAGCATTATGAACCACTAAATAAATAAATCTATAAATAAATCTAAGTGCTATTGCCATTGCTATGTAATACAACATAAACATTGATTCCAAATCACAATGATGCCAAAATGATGAAACATGCACTGTGACATCACAATATAAGCTTCACCTTAATTTGCACCATGACATTGCAGAACAAGCATGTAAAGCACAGAATTCATGTTGCAATGTACATTTCATCCCTTGTTCCTCCCTTGCATGGATGACTATAATTCAATATAGTATTTATTTATTTTTCACATTTCTATGTAATTGGTGATTCCTTTTATGTTTTGTAGAGTTCACAACCCAATATAAAACATTAAATGCTAATTTGTAATTCTATAACATTAGTGACATGGAGAGACTTTGCTTTTAGAACTTAGCACACACAGTTGCCTTTTTTTCAGATCAGAAGATGAGTTTTATTACTAGAAGATTAACTAGATTTAAGTTTTAACCTTCATGACAATTCTTGATCTTGTAATGGAGGAAAATATTCAATAGCATCACCCATTGGAATTTCTTGCCAAAACCTCAAAAAAACATTTAAATGCAATATGCAGTTAAACATACTGTTGGAAAAAATATTTGATTCCTTTGATTGCAGGGTTAAATAAGTTTTATTGTTAAAAAATATACCCATATACCCAGGTTAGCCTTGGGTTTACATTATCCTTGTTCTTCTCACTTCTCCTTTAGCTGAGCTAAACCATACAATAAGAAGCTATTTTCCAGTGTTTTTAAAGTAGTGGTTATACTTCACAACAGAACAAATGATATTATGTAAAAAAGAACGGACAATATAGTGTTTTGAATTAAGTATACAACTAGCATGTTGGTGTATTCTTGAAATCTTGTCTATTTGAAATAAAGGCTTTCAACTGGTTACTGTGGTCATTTTGCACAGCATTTCATCAGAGTTATTCTAATTTTCTATATTCTTGACTTCATATGGGCAGAGTACTTGATGTAACTAATGTTGAAGTCACCTCTGGAGATGGGTGGCACATAAATCCAAAAAACAAACTAGCTAGGGCAACATATCCTATTATTTTGGAATTCCTTTTAGTCTATTGTATAAATTTCAAAGACATGGATTAGACACTAACTGGGTTATCGCTTGCCGCCTATTCTTTGGACCTTTGCCCATCCTGGCTATTGTGGGAAGTAGGGTGGATGGATGCATGGATCTAAGAAATAGCAAGAGGGGGGATTTATCAATAGTTTTGAAGAAGGGTGTACTACTTGGGAAAAACCCATTCCCAGATCCAAAGAATTTAGATAACTATTGTCCATTCTCCAACCTTCCTTTTTAGGAAAGGTTATTGAGATAGCAGTAGTAGACTAAAGTCATAGTACCTTAGAAGAAATGAATTATTTGGACTTTTTTCAATTAGGGTTCATACCTGAATATATGGAATGATGTGTGGGAAAGACTTTGGGAGACGGACATAGAGATACTGTCAAGGGAACAATTAGATAAGAAATAGCAAAGCCCACTACTGGATAATAGGCAGGGCAAGAGACTCAGCAGAGATACTCCCTGGTTTCTCAGTAGTAAAAAATCTGGGTGGAGAATTGTACTTTCAGACTAGCAAGATTCTGTCAATGCAGCTTTACAATGTAGTAAAACGGCTCACATATTCATAAATTCTGAGCAATAGGTATATAACACAAAGTCTACAGGCCCTGAACTAATTGCCCATTGGCTGTTTGTAGCTCTCTAAACAAATGGCGTTATGTTATAAAGGCCTTTGCGGCTTGATATCTGAAGGAACACTTCCTTGGAATTGACCTGACTAACTGGATTCTTTGGAAAGGAGCTAATTATAAGTCCCACACATTTCCAGGATGAAGTGGGGAGAGAGCGTGAAGTTAGAAGACTCTGCTTTTCTGTTTTGGAATAACCTTATAATAGAGATCAGACTGGCCATCACCTTGTTAACCTTCAGAAAAATGTTCAAAGATTGAGTTGTTTCAGAGGACATTCTTTTAATTTAAGAACTGTACCATATTTTATTTATTTTTCTTTCTGTCTTCTCATGTGTTTTGTTAATATTATTTTTATGTTATTTAGCTATTCTTTCATTTTTTCCCCTAAGGAAGCTGTTAACAGTATTAGATTGGGACAGGATATAATGTTAATAAATAAATATCAGCATGTTTCCATGCAAGCCCTATTAAAAATAGCAATTTGTGGATAACTCATTTTTTTTCTAATTCACTATCTCCAAAGTTGTGGCCAGGGGAAACTTTGCCCAGCTACACTGGTATGTCAATCATGATTTTACTTGGAACAGAAAGATTTGCCTATGGTAGGTTGCACCTTCATCACTATGACTAGTACAATATGTTCTATACGGGGCTGCTTTTAAATACCATGGTGAATCTTTAGTTGGTGCAAAATGCATGGCCTGAATGCTAGGGCACATATTGCATATATTTTGTGGATCCTGTTTCCTATCTGCTTTCAAGTACAATTTAAAATGGTGGTTTTAACCTATAAAACCCTTTAAGATTTGGCATTGGGTTACTTTGGACCACTCATCTCTGCACTGGAATCAATCCAACCATTTTGATCATGCCAAGAGAAACAGCAAGTTGTCCTCCATTTTTCGGAAATTAGACAGCCAAGATTCAGAACTGTAGTTTTTCTGTTGTTGGACTGGCCCTCTAGAATGATCTCCTACAAGTGCATTTTGTTCCAACTACAGTTGCCTTCTAGAAGCTTCTCAAAATGTAGGGCATTTGGGGGATGAGACCTGATGTTATCTGAAATGTAGGTGCATTTATTTTTTATTGTTCTTTAATTTTTTTGCTATTCTTCTTTATATTGTGAGTGTCAAATAGTATATATAGAATTGCAGCAAGAAGTAAATGTCATACATTAATAAACAACAGATGGTTTCAACAACTGCTTTACTCTTCCTGTTTTTAAGCAAATTATATTTATTCTTTTCTTTTTTTCAAAACCATAACCCTTACCTCTAATGCAATGTGAAAAATTAATATATTCAATATGAGAATAATTTGTAATTTTTTTCATGAATATTTTCATGGCTTTTTTTAAACATGTGGCTAACCCTATTTATATACTGTATGTTCAGAGATATATTTATAAGGAAGGACCCTTTGTGCAATATTAATTGTAACTTTGAAAAAACGAAAGCAGAATCAACAGCTGAGATAAATAAGCATTAAGATGGGTTCAGAAAATAAAATATTTTCTGATGACTGTTATCTAATCCATTTATTTTTTCTTTCTATTCTTCCCCAAGAGTGCAGTATCATAAAAGAAAGAATTTCACAACAACTCAACTCTTTATATGCCTAGTCAACTGTGTTAAGTCAAAGCATTTCAAGATATCAATTATCCAAAGCAATAACAATAAGTTTAGTGCTATAATCTATGATACTTGGATTTTCATTTCATTCTTGGAGAATTAAAAAAATGCATGTACGCTGTGCTGCAGTGTATTCTGCTGATTGATCTTTTTGCAGTAAAACTGCTGCCCCAGCATTACTGCAAGCTGCAGCTGAGTTGTCTTCCATCCCTATATTTAATTGTGTTCTGCATTACAGAACAGATTTCCCAACTGTTTATTAAATGAAGTGGCAGCATTAAATGAAGCAATACACTGACCTAAAGTTAATCCTCTAATTTCCCTCTCCTGTTCTCACCAACAAATATATAGTTTATCCCACAGGTTTGAGATACCTGTACTTTCTTTTTTTTTCAGGTTAGTGGAAATAAAAAAAACGTATTTTAAAATAGCACTGCCTTATGAAATAGAACATATTTGTATTTTCATTCCCTGAAGTCTTACAGCCATTCTTCCTGTATAAAGCAGTAAATGGCTCAGTGTATCTTCGAGTTTCATAAATTAAGCATTATTCAGCTATATTACGGTTCCAAAAATAATCTCATTTATCTCTGGATCTAAGGCGGGCATCTCTCCTTCAGAATTTATTTTTTTAAACTTAGGAAAATATCTGGACCCCAGGGGGAATGCCTCCCTCAAGGAGAAGCATCGTTCTCTTTAGAAACGCAGAGGCTTCATCCAGGAAGGGACTCTGCACATGTTCAGAGGCTGTATTCGGCTTCAAAAGCACCGGCCTCATATCTTTTAGATCTACAAAGCGGTCCTGAACTAGATTCCAGACTTGAGCTATGGTTCAGAGAAAGAGAGAGAAAGCTGGGAAGAGCCTAAAACTGGTTCCTGAAGGAAGAAAACGGACTTCTTACCGGCAGCAGAAGGTAAACTCGTCCCCTGAATACACCCCTCAAGGTCCTGAGGGCAAGGAGTGGAATTTCATCCGAAAACCTCAAGGTTTTCCTTACATCCTTAACGGTTTCTCCCTCTCAAAGCCACCGCTCCTTCTCTTCTTCGTCCTTCTCCTCACCCGTATCCTAAGACTATTCCAGGAACACTAAACGCGTCCCAGAGGCCTGGAGGAGGAAGACGAGGAGATGCCCCGATTTCCTTCGCTTTTCCCCCCTTTTTTCCAGCGGGCTCCCGAACGCCGGCGCCTCTCAACTCTCCTGAGCCCCGCAACAAAGATGGCGTCGCTGGCTCTAGGGGGCTGGAGTAGAAGGCTAGAGTGCCCAAAGCAAAGATGGCGGCGGTGGAATTTCTCAGCCGGCGCGCGGTCCCGGAGGTGACAAAATCGCAGGTAGGAGCGCGCCTGCGCTGAAAGCTGACGGTAGGAATCGGTAGATCCCTTGTGCAAGGAAAGGAGGAGGCTAGCTTCGGAAGGCCGGCCTTTCAATAAGCCGGTTCTCAGAGACGTTTACGCAGAGAGCCTTGCTTTTTATTCGGTTTGATTTCCTTTGATCTCGGAAACACATTTCTGCCTGTGTTTTCCCTTCAACGAAGTACTGCCTCATAGATATAGAAAAATTTAGAACCAAAGTTCTGGATGTCTTCAGGTTTTTGGCTGCCACCCCAAAGTTAACCTGCCATGGGGCGCGTTTAGCCCAGGGGAGCCTCTATCTTAGTTGTAATTTCCAATTAAAAAGAAATAGCATTACTGGATCTGGACTGCAAAATCCGGATACCAGAGGAAGGCAGGATCGAGTTAGAATTTTTCTGAATGTCTTTTCTACTATCTAGTGGTCGTCAGAATATTTGCAGCAAGGATCCGATAGCCCAGTGTTTCTCAACCTTGACAATTTTAAGGCATGTGGACTTCAACTCCCAGAATTCCACAGCCAGCATTGCTGGCTGTGGAATTCTGGGAGTTGAAGTCCACATGCCTTAAAATTGTCAAGGTTGAGAAACACTACCGGATAGCCCTAAAAATGGGTTTGCTGCGATCTTATTCTGACTCCCCTTGTGCCATTTCTCCACTTCATAATAACTAATCGCAAATCAATGGAGCACTTCTAGCATGTTACTTTTTAACATTGACTTTGCAGTGTTAAACTACACTGTAATTTTAACACTTAAACTACAATTCTTAATTTAAACTACAGTTCTCAACTAATTTAAGATCAATATCCATTGACCTACAATGGTACTTTATTCTATGCATTCAATCTATTCTGTATCATGATCGCTAATATTAAACATAGTTGCATATAAGTTTCCTAATATGGAAACAGTTATTCTGTTTAATTTTTTTTAATTTAATGCAGACTTAGTGCCATCTTAATTCCTATTATGTACAGTTCTTGAAAAAGGGAATCCAGTACTTAATTCAAACTAAATTAAACATCCCCTATCATTATAGCGTAGATATTACTTGGCAGAATAGCCATCAAGTCTTTGGAAAAGATATTCAGATGTTGTAATGTGTCTATATCTATAATAATCAGAAATGTTCAAGTCACAATATTCCCTGTGATATTCTTAATGAAGCAAAAGTTGTACTTTGAAGAAGGATAGGAAGAGTATTGAAGCTTTTGAACTTTGATGTTGGAGAAGACTCCTGAAAATACCAAGAGAAACATGGATCATCAAACAGATCGACCCAAAGTTCATTTGAAAAAGAAACGGCGAGGCTTAAATTTTCATACTCTGGACATATTATGCAAAGAACTGGAGAAGGCTCTAATAATGGAAATGATGGAAAGAAAGAAGAGAAGAAAACAGCAGCAAGGTAGATGGACTTGATTACAGTGGCGAGGGTTTCTTTATATGAAATGCAAAATTCTGGATGACCATAGGATAATAGTAAAGAATGTTTTCCACATCTCTTTTCTACCATCTAGTGCAGGGATGGCAAACCTTTTTGAGACTGAGTGCCCAAACTGCAACCCAAAACCCACTTATGCATCGTCGAGTGCCAGGTGGGTGTGGCCCATTCGCTGGGTGTGGCCAATTGGATGGGCATGGCCAATTGGGTGGGCGTGGCTGCAGTGGTAACGGAAGACTGGGTGGGACTAAAAAGTTCAATCAATCAATTCCAACTTTGCAAGATCTTTTTTTTTCCCATGAGAAGTTGAAATTCACTGATTGAACCTTTTTTTTTTTTTTTGCACATGGCGGAGGCCTAAAGCGAAAAGATTTTATGAAACCCAGCTGAAGGCCTAGGACTCGGGTGACAGTGCGCGTGCCCACAGAGAGGGTTCTGAGTGCCTCCTCTGGCACCCGTGCCATAGGTTCGCCACCACTGATCTAGTGGTTACTAGCTTTTTGGAACCAAAATTTGGTAATCCAAAGAAAAACTCCACCGCGTTCAATAGAGACAAAACTGATTTAAAGTGTATAAAATTGAAAGTGGCAAGATATTTGAGCAGTGGAGACTGGAATTTCTGCAAATACATCTTCAACTCTGATATTTGTAGAAAAATAGAAAAGCATAGTGCCTTATATCTAAGCAAAATCCTATAGACAAGAGGAACAAAAAAGGGTCATGTACAAGTTGCTGCATCAACAGAGGGATAGTACAGGTAACCCTCGATTTACAACAGTTCATTTAGTGACTGAAGTTACAATGGCATTAAAAAAAGTGACATGACTTATGACTGTTTTTCACACTTATGACTGTTGTGACATCAAAATTCAGATTCTTGACAATTGACTCATATCCCAGGCCATGTGATCACCTTTTGCAATCTTCTGCAAAGCCAATGGGGAAGCCAGATTCATATAACAATTATGTTACTTAATAACTAATGATGTACTTAAAAGCTATGGCAAAAGGGTCATGAAATGGGACAAAATTCTCTTAACAAGTGTCTTGAGTAGCAACAGAAATTTTGGGCTCAGTTGTGGTTTTAAGTCAAGGACTACCTGTATTAAGATTACATAAGGTGATAATACCACTTTATACTGCACTGATAAGACCACACTTGGAATACTGCATCCAGTTCTGCTAACAATACCAAAAATAATAATAATAAAAAAAAATGCTGAGACTCTAGAGTGTAGAGAAAAGCCACAAAGATGATAACGGACCTGGGAGCTAAGCTATATGATGAAAAGTTGAAGGAACTAATTACGTCTAGTCTAATGAAGAGAAGGACTAGTTTTCCAATACTTGAAGGGCTGTCACAAAGAAGACAGGGTCAACCTTTTTTCCAAAACACTTGAGAACAGGACAAAAAGTAATGGGTGGAAGATTATTAAAGAGAGATCTAACCTAGAATTGAGAAATTTCCTGACAGTGAGGACAATTCATCAGTGGAAAAGCTTTCCTCCAGAAGTTGCAGGTACTCCTTCGTTGGATATTTTCAAAAAGAGGTTGGACAACCATTTGTCTAGAATGGTATAGGGCAGGGATAGGCAATCTTGGCTCTTTTATGACTCTTGGACTTCAACTCCCAGAATTCCTGAGCCAGCATGGCTGGCTCAGGAACTCTGGGAGTTGAAGTCCACGAGTCATAAAAGAGCCAAAGATGCCTACCCCTGGTATAGGGTCTCCTGCTTGAGTAGGGGGTTGGGCTAGAAGACCTCCAAGGTCTCTTCCAAACTCTTTTTCTATGTTCTATGAGTGCAGCACATGTGAAAGAAAATATATGTGAATGTGTCCATCCTGAAGATACCTTATACACTACATTTTGGCCACTTCTTTAGTAAAATTAAGCATCCCTATAAGTAACAATTGATACATCTAAAAGATATTAGTGATCAAAGACCAACTTAACTCAGAGCTATGTTCAGGTCTAAAATTTATTTTGATTAAGAAAATGAAGTTTCAGAAAACAGGAATCTCAAATGGAGGATCTTAAGGTCTCCCATGAGAAATAAATAAATGCAAAAGAAAGACCTAAATTTAGTGTGCTACATCTAATTGGCTCTAGTCTGGAAAAGGAAGTTAACCACAACTCTTTGCCCCTCTTACGTTCTACCTTCAGAGGTAAATCAGTGCCTTACAGACTAAATGGAGAGTTCAGAAACAGTAATATGATAGCAATAATAATAAAGGCAGTAATACAAAGACAATAATACTATGGGAATAGAAAGAAAAATACATTGGTTTTAAAACTCCATTATCTTAATCAGTGTAATGACAAATATAGCTTTTTTAAAACCATAGCTCTGTGTCTTACTTCTATGTTACAGAGTCATTCTTCTGAGAATAACAACCTCTATTTTGTTCCAATCTAAGCTGTATCCTCTTAAGAAAAAATACCTCTTGCAAAACATATCTCAGGTTGAGACAAGAATGAATCCAATCCAGTCCCTGAATTCATGTCACCATCTCCTCCTGCAATCCTTTTTAACATAAGGATGATGTGTTGGGTCTTATACATCTAATATTCAATATTTACGGAGACCACTAATCAAATTCTTATCCAGGAGTCACGTTGCTCTACATTTCTATCTCTATGGTTTCTCTATTTGCCTGCATCTTCGTCTTCCTAACAGCTCCATCAGAAACTGCTAGCAAGAGCAAGGACTGGTGCAAAGGAGAAACAAGGAGTGCATCGTCTAAAGCTGAACTGGCTGACATACCTGCAGAGGTAACTGACAGAAGTCCTTCCAATTTAATGAGTTTATTATGCTTTTTTTTAAGCGATGGCAAAAGATTGATTTCCTCTGTATAAGAAGAGCTGCCCATCTCACTCAAACAGGACAGAGAAGTCTTCAGTCTAGCAGATGATGAAGATATCGTGGTCAATGTACTGGGTTTTTAGAAAATTATAAGGTCCTGTCATCCATAGCCACAATTTCATATTTTCATCATCCCAAGCATCCATTATCTTGTTTATCACCCTGGACTCGAGGGACACCTCTGCTAACCCATGGGGATATAATTATACAGGTCTTTGAAATAAGCAACGGAGTCTTTCAAGATTCTTTGCTCTTCCTGTCTCAGCCATTTATATATATAAAAAACCTCATGCTTTTCAATACAGTTGTAGAAGTAACAAGAGCTAAATTTCCTGTTAATTCTAAATGTTCATTTGTAGTTTAGGAGTTGTATCTCCTCTGGCAATTAGATCAATAGATTTAGCAGTGCAACATCACCAAGGAAAGTTAGTGCGTGCATATCTCAGTTGTGCAGAAATATTGTTTGGTCTAATATATCTTTGTGTCTTTAAGATAATTAAAATCTTTATGTGAAGGTGTTTTGGAAGTTAAAAAATACATTACAAGCTCATGAATATTTCTAATTGATGAGTGTAACTGAAATCATATATTTTTCAAGAATAATCTGCTTTCCTTCTGTGACAGGAATTTTGCCTCTCAGATTTTAACTGTTGGTTTAGAATACAACCTTTAATTTACTCAGAATTCCATTGAGTTAAATGGAGCTTATTCCTGGGCGTGTTGGCTATAGAAAGGCAGTTAGAATTAGTCATTACTGAAAAGCTCAAACATTGTGCTCTCCGCAACAGTCAGGGTGTATTACTGCATGCAGTTTTCTTTATGGTACCCTTAGACTGAAACCAACCTATTGAAGGAATATATCAATAGTTCAATATATCAATAGTTCAATATTTATGTCTCTGTGGCAGACTATCTAACCCAGATAATATGATTCTGATTTAGCATTAGTAGATGATGATATAGGAAAGAAGGAGCAATGTCAGAAGACGCTGCTAACGAGACACGTTTGCCTTTGAAGACTACAGCTTTAAGAGTATTTGATCTTCCACTCTCCTGGTATAATTCATTGATACAGGTAATGATTGCATTTGTTGTTCTTTATAGCTCTGTTTCAAATGTCTAGGGGTGCTTTTTAATATATGTCTTTATTTTATTAAAGTAAAGTTTATATGCATAGAAGTATATGTTACTAGTTTGTATTATTATTGCATGGAAAATATGTTCCAATGCTGTCTTGCTAAGAACCACACCCTCCTTCCCTTCTATTCCCTTAGGTTGTTGTTATTGTTGTTGTTGTTGTTGTTGTTATTGCTGAATTTCATGGACTAATAAAATAGATTTTTTTCTGGTTTCTTTCTATAGATTCGATGGTGTTGATATCCTACAGATTTTCTGTTGAGTGTGCCTCGACTGATGCATTGATATGAAACTCTTGAAAGTTGACTTACTTATTGTGGTCTGTGAAATTAGGAATACATTAATTGCAAGGGGTTTTTTTGTTAGAGGGCTACTTGTATTTAAAACAGGTTAGGGCAGGGGTATCAAACTTGTGACGTCACGTGAAGTGTCGTGACCTATCGCAACTTTTTTTCCATTGCTGGCAATGGGGTGGGTGCGGTATCGCCATGACACATTCGGCCTGTGGGCCGGCAGTTTGACACTCCTGGGTTAGGGTAATGATTAAGCTAAAAGAAGAAACAAAGAAAAAAATGAAGTTAATAATTATTTGTTGCAAGTTACACTAAACATGGACTTGCTTGTGAGTTATGCTACAGTGTGGATGAGCAAAGGTTTCTCTGTAAAAATTTTAAATTGAAAAAAAAAGGATATGTCTGCAATCTTATACTTCAAGTATGCAAAATGCAGATTAGAAATATGATTCAGAAAAGGTTTTTTTTTTCAAAACCTGCAAGTAATAAATATTCACAATGCTGTTTCGCAGTCCCAGCACAGCAATAGAATGCTATGTGGGATTATTATTTACATGAATAAATGCTGCTCAGAAGATTGAAAATCCATATTATATCCAGCAGCCTAACTTGCTTTGCAGAACAGATCTTCTTGATCCATAAATTCAGTGTGTATTTATATGTATTTTTGCTGCTGTTTTACTAGAGATCAACCCAATTCTTTTGGGTAATGTCAGGTATGCTTTCCCCTTGGGGTGAGGAGAAAACTAGGAAGAAGGCAAAGCAAAAGAGCTACAAATCCAGCTACATTTTTGGAACTGGTAAACAGAATAAAATGTCACCATTTCATAATTAGCAGTACCCTAACAAAGTTTCTAGTGGTCACATAGCACTAGCAATGGTAGATACTATGATTGATAGATTATGTATTTTGGAGTCCATACCCAGTCTTAATTATGATAAGCACAGATTAGGATGGTCTATCTCCAACCTGAGTTGGGTGAGGTTATTGATTAATATAGCATACTGATGATACTCAGGTATATATCTCTGTCTTGGGTCACCCAAATAATGCCTTAGAGATATTTTCCCAATGCCTGGAGGCTATGCAGATCTGGATGGAGAAGCATTGGCTTTGGCCCTACCCTGACATTGTTATGGGTTTTAGGGCTCTTCTATATCTAGTGATTTTTTTTAATTGATTCTGGATGGGGTAACACAGGGACTAGTTCTTGGAGAGAGGTTTTTCTGCAGACCGGAAGGTGCATGGTTTTGTGTGCTGCCTGCATCCAACAGATGGGGCTTTGCTTGTTTGTGCGGCCTCGTTGCTGGCATACCGCGGCCCGGTACTGATCCATAGACTGGGGGTTAGGGACCTCTGGGGTAACATTATCCCAGACAGAGTTGGTATATAATCTAGGAGACCTCATGAGCTCAAGACTCTTGCTTGAGAGCAAGTAGCAGTGTGGTCAGAAAAGTCTTTATACAATTACATCTTGTGTGTCAGTTGCATCAGTTCCTAGATCAAAAGCTATTGCTCATGGGTCACTTATGCCTTAGTCACTTCCTGACTGGACTATTGAAATGTGCTGTATGTGTGGGCTGCCCTTGAAAACATTTAGAAGCTTTATTTGGTCCAGAATGCAGTAGCATTTGAGGTATTGGATGTTCCACAATATAAAAAATGTAATACCTCTGCTTTGTGAGCTGCGATGGTTTCCCGCAGGCTTTGGAGTACTATTCAAAATGTTAATGTTACCTTTGAAGCCCTACTCGGCATGGGACCAAGTTACTTATGGGACCGTCTTTTTGGCTGTTGATTTCTGCTCATCCCATCAGATTGGGCAGAGTGAGTATGCCCTGGTTCCCATAGGTGAAGCAGTATTATTTGGTGTTTGCTAGGAATTTTGCCATCTTTTTCATGGCACCTGTCTTGTGAAACAACCTTCCCCCTGAGATGATGGACATTCCTGAAGCTGCTGACCTTCGAGAAGGCCAAGAACACCTGGTTATTTCTGTTGGAACTGGGACTATAGTATTAATGGAGCTCTGTTATTGTTGTTATTTGCTATTAAGATTTTTTTAAGAACCTTGACCCTTTTTTCTGTAATATAATGGATTGTGTATTTGATTTGTTTTTATTTTTGATTGATAACCTGAGTGCCTTTGGCAGATGGGCTGCTGTATAGATAGGATAAATAAATACATTTGATTCAATTACGTGTTACCCATATAGTTTTGATCCATTTATTCACTGTACATACCACTAAAAGCTTAACATTGGGAACATTACCAACTTCTATGGATTGACTGATTCCAAATTCTTCTATGTTGTTTCCAGTAGGCAACTTTGAACAACTTATAGGAAAATGTACATTATACTGTATATGATTCATCCCAATTCAGGTACATCTCCCATTCTTGTCTCAGACCCCGAATACATATTTTAAAAGCCATGTTGTAAAAACTTCCACAATACTAGGAGTGAGAGTGCAATTCTTATGTCTAATGAGAGGGCATTCCATAAGAAGGAAGCTCCTGCAGAAAACCCTGGGCTCTCAATCCCTTCTTGTTGCATCTCATGTAGCGTGGGAACTCTCAGTAAGTAATCTCTACATGATAAAACTATGGCTAGAGTACTGAGTGAGGGTTTCCAAATTTTGGATAGTGCACCCCATCTTGATTTTTTTTAGGGAATCTCATCCCTGTCACCTAGGCCAACCCTGCCATTTAAAAAAAACCTCTCAATTCATAATTAAAACCAGAAATTCAGAAAAATATTCATTTTTCCCTTTAATTAAAAATAACAGAAATGTTTTTTCCTGTAGCAGCAAATTAATGAGAATGAATGTAATGTAAAAAGAGCAGAAATAAAACGTATTTACATTCCCACCCATATTCCCACAAGCCACCTTTTCCTTGCAGTCTCTCCACTGCATAAGCACAGATGCACATTGGTGTTGCCTGCCTTCTTCCTGTCTTTCCCTCCATAACATTTATAGTGACTTTCTTCCCTCTTTCCCATTATCCAGCTCACCGTGACTTTCCCCTCAACACCTATCAAACTTCATAGTATTTCTTTTCTTCCCATTCTACCATGGGCTCCATCCACTTCCCAATCTGCCTGCCACACACTGCTGATTTTCATTGTGCCTCCTTTCCTTCCCATCAGCATATTTAGCTATATGGATTTTTGTAGTCCATTAGATCTTCATTGAAAATTGTGGCATTTTTGAATTTCACATTTCTTTTCATGCACAAACACACATTTTGAGGTCCCTGGTAGCAGGGCATGGCATTTGAAATCGACTTTTTGGATTTTCTGGAAGTAATGCAAAGAATAAAACATTTATTTTACCAAAATAACTACAAACAAATGCACTTGTCTCAAATATAATGTTAGTAGAGTAATGTAACTTGCCATACAGTTGGGCAGCAATGTTACTAAAATTATCTGTACACTTTTTAAATTACAGTTTCATTTAAAATATGCTAAGGAATGTGAATTGAGGTTCATATATTGATAGAAGTGCCTACATCATTGGATGCAGAATTCATATTTAACACATGAATGTAACATGCTTATAAAAATATTTTTTGGGTATTTCTGCACAAATGTAATATAACTTTTTTTAACTATTTGTTTTAAGGTTAAAATCTCACCAGGGCTAAAGAAACTATTTGCGATAACAGCAGTAAGTGCCATAACAGTGCTTTTTCTTGCCCATCACTTCAAAAGAAAACGTGGGAAGAAAACCAGGAAAATATCTCCATGGGAATCAGACCATCTGATGTTCGATTATGCAAAAACTTCTGGGTCAGAGAAAAGTAGGCAACATTTTCTCTATGAAAAACTAATGTTCAAAGAGAGTTACTTGATACCTATTTGGAAGTAAGCCTTATTGAAATGAGACTTTCTTTCAATGAATCATCAGAAGTCTATGCTGCATAACTTACAGTTATAGGTAATCCCCGAGTTACGAGCGTTCACTTAACGCTTGTTCAAAGTTACGTGATGAGCGGCCCCTAGTGCTTAAGAGCAACTCCCCAAATTACGAGTATTGCAGCACTACAGTAGTTGTTCGTCCTTACGAGTGACCACAGTGGCTCTGCAACACTCACCTGGATTATTCCCTTCCTCCCCGCCCCCGCCATGGGTCTCCCTAGGCACCAAGCCTTCAGTACTCACCCTGCGTAGATGGAGAATCTTCGCTTTCTTGGCTGCTCCAGGTCTTCGGTATGTTTGCAGAGAATGGAGGCCTAAAATAATGCAAGGTGATGTGAGATCAGTGAAGCGAAATCTCACACTACTGATCTTGCGTGATCTAATGGTTCTTTAGACCTCTGTTCTCTGCAACAGAGAACCAAACAGAAGCCGGTGGACGCTTCGACATGCCTCCAGAAGCTGGACTGGGGCTCTGGAGGCCTGGAAAAGGCCTCTGCCACCTGGATCTATGGCTGCAGAGCGCTTTTGCGTCCCTCTGCAGATGATCTGGGCTCTGGAGGCCTGGAAAAGACCTCTGCCGCCCGGATCCATGACCGTGGAGCAATTTTGCGGCCCCCAAACAGCCTGATCCGAGCTCTGGAGGCCTGGATCAGGCCACGGGGGGGGGGGCAAAAATCACTCCGCGGCCATAGATCTGGGCTCTGGAGGTCTTTTCCAGGTCTCTGGAGCCCAGATCAGACCACGGGAAGGGCACAAAATCGCTCCGCGGCCATAGATCTGGGCTCTGGAGGCTTTTTCTAAAGTCTTTTTTCTTAGTTAATGGAAAAGAAGATGCATGTAAGGTGAATAACATTATTATTCATCCTCTTTACCTCCACAGATTCTAGTTGTTGCAGTAGCAGACAAAATCTAACACTTTCACTGAATTCCATCAAAGAAAAAGATTTTCAATCTTACATCCATGCCAGTGGTGATCTCTTCAATAAATATTCTGGTTCCGTGCAGAGTTTGGCCTCAGTAAGTGTGATCTATTGAGAACTATTGTATGTATTTTAGGAATGAAAAACAGAGGGTTGTTTTCTTTGCTTGAGGAACTCTTTATAAAAAGCAAGTGCTGTATTCACATACTTCTTTTTTTTGAGAAAGCATTTGACTGAAAATAATATATGAATATTTCCAAAGAAATGGTTACTTATTTTCCTAGAATAGAAAAATCAGTTATTATAGGCCCACAATTATTTTTGATTTCCTCATTTTTGTACTTATTTTTCATGAAACCAAAGAGTAAAATGCAACTACTAGAAATAAATTGTTATTTTTCCCTTGGCTTACATGCACATGTTTTTGTTTTTTTTTTAAATTAGGCCCACAGTGCCACCTCTTGTCCTAGTTGTGTTTGTGTGAATTCTAATTCCTGGAATAAAGCAGATGAAGATAATATGAAGCTAGTCAATATTCCAGTAACTACTCCAGAAAATTTATATTTGATGGGTAAATATGTAATATTTATGGTATTATTATTATTAGAAGTATGGTATAAAAAAATAAATAGATTTTAAAGCATTTCACCGTTCAATGCAAAATATATGCTGTTGTAAAGAATACTGTAACTAGTATGCCTTTTTAAATAAAAGATATGGGTGCATTGATTTTTTTTAATAGATGCTGTGTAAAAGTATTAGATGCAGATTCACAAAATGGTTTCTTATTGAATCTCCTAGTATTGATTGAGTGATTATATCCTATCAAGTTAGTGCCCACTCTTAGCAACCATGTAGATGTTGTCCATGATGATCTATCTCTAACTTGACCTTTCAGGTCTTTTAATAGTGTACTCACTGTAACTGAGTCCATCCACCTAACTACTGATTGTTCTCTTTTTTCCTTCCTTCCTTCCTTCCTTCCTTCCTTCCTTCCTTCCTTCCTTCCTTCCTTCCTTCCCTCCTTCCTTCCTTCCTTCCTTCCTCCCTCCCTCCCCCCTCCCTCTCTTTCTTTCTTTCTTTCTTTCTTTCTTTCTTTCTTTCTTTCTTTCTTTCTTTCTTTCTTTCTTTCTTTCTTTCTTTCTTTCTTTCTCCGTTCCCAACATTAGAGATTTCTAATGAGAGCTGGGTACTCACATACTGTCTCTCAAGTAGAATAATATGAACCTTGTCATTTGTGCCTCAGTTGAGAATTCTAGCTTTATTTGTTCTGTGATCCATTTATTTGTTTAATTGGCTGTCTCAGGAATCTTTTCCAACACCAAAATTCAAAAGCATCACGATAGCATTCTTCAAATCCCTGAATTAGTTCAGGATGGATTATTGCACAAAGCAGAAGGTTGAACTCTGTGGTCTGACTATTCTTACTCAGTTTTATACTTCTAAGAATATGAGGGATTTATTCTTAACATTTCAGTATGATGGAAACTAAATCCATCTAATTAACCCTTTTGACTACGCTTGTTGGGGTGTTAAGAGCTGTATTCCAAATACACCTTCAGGAAAATGAATTGGGGAGGAAAAGATAGCTAATTGAATGCAGATCTCTTGTGGGGTTTAGAATTTTGACACACTCTCTCTGGATTTCCTAGCTGGGACATCCAGTACAGTGTGCTTATGGAAGAGTGATTCACACTTGCAGGTAAAACAAAGAAAATGTCTGATATAAGGAAACTTTACCATTTTTTTTTCAGGGATGGAGCTATTTGAAGAAGCACTACAACGATGGGAACAGGCATTGACATTTCGGAACCGACAAGTTGAGGATGAAGCTAGCTGTGGTGCCATCAAGATTGGAGCAGGTGATGCTATTGCAGAAGAACATATAGAGGTAAGAAGATGTCAGCACACACAGCATTTGCTGCTTGTTGGGTAACTTTATGCCGTTATATGAGCACAGGAGGAAGGGATACACTTATTAAAACTGTATGTTCCATTTTCCACTGAACACATTGAGAAAGGCGGATTGTATCTGTAATTTAAATGAATCCTCTCCCAAGAATACTTTGCTTATATTGTTATTCTCCCTCAATACCAAATTATAATATTTGTTATAATTTTAACATCAGAAATATTTTAAAATTTTTATGTGCCAAACCTTGTGTTAATCTGATGATTGCCCATAATGGTTTTGAGGCACTAAAGATAACTATACGTAAAATCAGAGGGAGAAAAAAATAAACTTTTCAAGTGATGTATTTTTACGTATCTTTTGTGTTGTATTACAAACACATTTATTGTCTATGGAACATCTGTGAGCTCAAATGAAAATTTTGTGTGCGTTTTATATTTTTTTCCCCTGTAGGATATATCTAGAAGTAAACATGTTGGTATTGATTAATTTGAGTGGGTAAATAACCTAACTGCTGCTTTATTTAATTCTTCTGACCCTGCTGCTCTTGCATATGGTGTAGCCTAAATAATTAATCACCACAGTAAATTAACCAAATGAGCAAATCATCTCAGCATTTCCATTAGCTGCTTAAAATGTTATTTTATATCTTGTAATTTTTATTTAAGGATATCATTAGTGCAGAGTTTATACATAAGCTTGAACTTTTGCTCCAGAGAGCTTACCGCCTTCAGGAAGAATTTGAAGCCTCTCTTGGAGCATCTGATCCAGCGTCCTTTGCCAATGAGGCTGGTAAGTTTTGTGGGGTTTTTTTGTTTTTAAGTTTCCATGTTTCCTGACACAATGCAGTTCACTTTTTCAACTCTGTGCCTTTCAGATGTCCATGACTGTAACTCTTGTTAGAGATGACCTGTGCTAACTGAGAATTATTATGGTCCAACAAATTGGGAGACCCCTAGTTAGAGACGGCTGAACTAACTATTACACTAGATCAGTGTTTCCCAAACCTGACAATTTTAAGGCATGTGGACTTCAACTCCCAGAATTCCACAGCCAGCGTTGCTGGCTGTGGAATTCTGGGAGTTGAAGTCCACATGCCTTAAAATTGTCAAGTTTGGGAAACACTGCACTAGATAACTAAGGGAATCTGGGGTAATGATAAATTAATTATTTGTATTTTTCTTTCATACCCACAGAGCTGGGTTTATTTCTATAATCATGAAAGTAAGCATCAAAAATATTTGGAGTATTTTTTTAAAATAGATAGCCTTAGCCTTCCCCACCTAATCCCTAGAGATTTTGGCTATTCCCTTATAATCTGTTTTAGTTATATGCCCCTTTCTATTTTTAAAGCTGGTTCTTTTTGTTTTTCATTTTGTCAAAAAGCACTTTATGCAACTATACCAGATTCATTAGGTATCTCCCATCTTTCTTTTTTGTGGTTGGACCTCATTTATTTCATTTTTCAGGATTTATCAACCTTGCTAAATATTGTTTGCCCTCAAGATTTCCATCAGTGGAACTTTTTCCTTTTTAGCTTACTGAAGTCAACTGCATTCAAGTCTAAAATTCTAACCTGACTGCCTTTAGTTTTCCCTGTTTGCAGTATAGTGAATTGTAAAATTACATAATCTCCCAAGGTTCCTACAACTTCTACTGTTTAACCATTTATTCCGTATTAGTATTAATGCTAATGTCATGTGTGTATCTAATATTGCAAACATTTATATACGATTTTCCTAGAAATTAAAGACATCTGATATATTGCCAGGGCTAAATATCTATTTTAACTTTTGGATCTATATCTCTGGCTTCACTCTCACCATATTACAGTATTAATATGATTTTCAAAGCACTTTAATATGGGAAATCTGCTGTTTCACTAGATGATATGTTTTCAGTAATCTTTTCCCCCCCTATTGGTTTATTTTTTTCCTCCATCAAGTGAAATTTAGCCTTGAATTATCAGACAACCTCTGATAGAATTCTCTCTTTGAATTCAAATTTTGAATACACAATTTATATTAAATAAGAATCACAAACAATATCAAGTCCATCAATCTACTACATTCCTTATTTCATAAACTATAGTTTCTTTAACTGAAAAGTTGAAGAACACAAGGTTAAGAGCTAGCAATAACTTTTCTGGCATTGCAAAATAGCAGAATCCTGCCAAAAATAGCACAACCTCAGGCACAATAATGGAAAGAAAATTTGGCAGGAAAAGTATTAGTAATGTAATAATACTAGGAAGAATTGGGTCAGTAAGGCTAAAAATTTAAGACTTTCTGTTTTCTTAGTCTCATCTGTCTGAAGCTTGAGCCAAATTGAACATGACACTTAATGGGGAATGGAACAGTTCTGTGTGGATTGAGTTAGAAGAGTGCTTTTCAAACTTAGCAACTTTAAGATGTCTGGATATCAGCTCCTAGTATGCTGGCTGCAGAATTCTGGGAGTTGAAGTCCGCGCATTTTAAAGTTGCCAAGTTTGAAAAATACAGACTTTAAAGAAGAAATTGCTATACGCAAGAAGTAAGTTCTCTTGGCAAAAAAAGAGAAAAAGAAGAAGAAAAAGTTTATCCTAATTTTGAAGATGAAAATATTAACCTAGAGCCAACGTAGAAGAAAAGGTGCAAAGTTTTTGTTTGTGTGTTTCCAGTGCTAAATGCTGCGCTTGTCAATTTTCATGGCCTAAGGCTAGCAAATAGGGAATTAAAGAAGAGATAGTACATATAAAAAGAATAACCACTTCTTTTAAAACTGTGCTACCAATTTATATATTATTAAGAAAAATATATAATCTGGTTGATATGGCGAGGTTTCTTGGTCTGGATGATAGCTGAGTATTAGGTCCTTGTAAACAAAAATCTATTACCGCTTGAAAAGGAATGAAACTGCGCTCACTGGAATTTTTAACATTTTAATACCCCTAGGCTGTGCTAGTGCCTCAATCTGTATTAGAAAGGATAAGCATCATATTCTGTAAATTCTTTTGATTCACATTCTACTATAGAGCATCTATTTATCCATCTTTAGAGTTTTGTACACTGAATCCACTGGAACATTGACTCATCTCATTTTGGTTTTTACATCCATTTATAGTTATGTGAAAGTGGCAACTGTTCTCTTGATTTCTCCACTTCATGATCACATCCCATTCTTCCAAACTACTTACATGGGTCAAGGTGTACGGCATAGATGTTTGCAGCTTTATAATTTTCTGGATAATAGCAAAGTAGCTTCCAATGAATAGGAATACATTACAGCTTAATGTGACTGTGGATTTTTGTGGAATCTTTCCCCCAATGTTTAATATTGCAACATACTTTTGCTATTCTCAAACTGTGAGAAGTAGGCTACTTAGATCTGAATTAAGAGCTGAGTTTTATTTGGATCCCGATTCACAGCTTAGCTGCTCCAAAGTCATATGTGTCATTCACTGGCGTTAGTCACAGCTTCAAGATAGGTGTATTAGTTAGGATTTGAAAGACGACTCTGCTGCCCCTGTTCCTCACAGTTCTCGTATCACATGGGGGTTTCCTGATATAGGAAATACTAATTATGAACTGCACATTGGTAGAATGTAAACTTTGTTTTTCATACGAATGGTAGAAAGGACAAATTAGTCTGTCAGTTATTTTTAACAGGAATTAAAATGCGCTCTGCTTTATTTTTTCTCTTTCTTTTTCCTGCATTCACAAAAAGCAAGTTAATTGGACATATTTATTTAATCACTATGGAAATATGCACAGTATTTTATGGCTTATTAAAAATACAGCCTGCCAATGTAAATTGTAACAAACCCCAATACCAGAGATAATGTCCAGAATTTCATGAATCACATTATTATCATTACATGTTAAGTAATCCCTGTGTTAAGACCCTGCCATGAAATTTACACAACCAGCTGGTTTCAACTGGTTTGCTGCCAGACTAATAGTTTTGCATAGACTAAAAATTTATTCTTATTTGCCAATAAATAGCAAATTTGTAAAAGAAGAATATTACCCCAAGTTTTGCCTAAATGCCTTATGCAAGGGAAGTACAATATATATAGGCAGAGATAGCAAGATAGAGATAGTTGAGAGAATTAGATTGTGTTAAGCCATGTATGCATTGTTTATATTCTGTCTACATTTGTGAAAGTCTTCTGTCCTGAGGCACAGTCTGAAAGTGGAAGCCCATCCAAATTGTAATCAGTTGCAGTTTTTTCTAAGCATTATGTTTTTAATGTTTTATTAATAAACCAATACTATTGTTAGTAGAAAATAATTTCATAGACAATAAAAATAACTGATTCTTATAATCATTAATTCTTATAATCTAAGCTTGGTTCCTGGTTAATTATGATGGCATTCATTATATATTTGCCCTAAAAAATTACTCAACATGGCCTATGTGATTCATGATAATGTTTTTTTTAATTATTATTGATCGTTGCACAGTCAGCCAGATATATATCTTTAAGCTTGCTGGTTGCAAGTCTAAAAGCTTTTTTAAGTCCCACCTTAAAACTGGTATAGTGTCAGCCAACTTTACCTAGAAAGGGCTATTTGATAGATTTTCCTATTAATGCATAGTTGTTTTACTACCATCACAAGCTGCTTTTTAAATCAATGCAAATGTAATACATAGAATTTGGAAATGTCTCTATTTAAAATGTTTGCTATGACCATATTCTTTTTAGGGCCTTGCTAGAAAGTCATAGTGATATATTATCCAGGTATTAATACATCTCTTGGATTCTTCATATAGGCTTACTGCAAGGCTATTGGTATGGACTAAATTTCATTTAATCTTGGAACAGGAGTGAGAAGTTTAGAGGCCATGTGGTGTTAAATCAGTAATGGGTAAATAGATTTTGAAATGCAGAATCAGATGCAAGGTTGTTATTGCCAGCTTTTAAATTTATCTCTTTCTTTTATCTATTAAGATTCTTGTTTCAGTAACTTTTAATTGTGCAAAATGGTGAATCATAAGGCAAAATGTTTTAAAGATATCTCAAATGGGCTAGCTTACAGAATGGGTCCAGTATTTGACATCCATGACTCCGGTGGAATAATAATTTTGTAAATACATTTTATGATAATATACTTTTCCAGTATATTATAATTGTTGAAGACCTCAAGGAATCTGGTAGGAAAATGTCTCTAAAATGATGACCCAGTGGTTCATAGGTTTCTAGTAATCTTATAAAAACTTGTCTAAAGAAGACAATTATGCTGAAAATAAGAAACTACAAATGTTAACCTTGATAGTTATACCTTTATTTAACTATATTTTGAATGTATAAGCCTATAATTTCTGTTGCAATTGCAGATAGAAACAATCAATTTAACTTTTCTGAAGTCACCTTATTATTTTGCAATATTCTGAAATCGCCTATTGTCTGTGCTTCTCTCTAAAGTCCTATTTCTGTTAGCTTCTGACAATCTAAAATATTTTTATTTGCCAAAAAAAATCATGAAAGTTTTCATTCTCTTCTATTATACCTGCTTAAGAGCCTTTTTTTTCCTGATAGTTTTCTTGATTTCCTTGTTTTCCCTACTAAAAAGATCTTTGGCTTGTAGACTATCCCATGATGATCAGTTTATATTCTGGTTTTTGTTGCAATTGTTAGTGACTCCTCGAGTGTACTGAAGAAATCTGACCCTCCCAATGTTCCCTTTCGGCTGAATTTTTAAGTTTTCTAGCTCCCAGTATCTGGGGGGCACAGAAGTGGTACCAGTAAATGTTAGCTAAGTTAGGCAATTAGATTCCTCCTTTAGATTCCTCCTTAACAGTTGCCTCAAGGGACAGCTGCCCAGTGGGTGACAATGACTGTGAGGAGAATTAACAGACACATGGGAAGGGGGGGAACATAGCTCTTTGCTCTGAGTTATCTAGCAAAATGCCCAAGTTCAAATTACCCCTGCAGCATATCAAGTGGTAATACTGGTATTAATAAATGCCAGTATTAATAAAGGGGTTGAAGTTTCAATACCTAAAGGAAGGGTGTAACTGAAAGGAATTGACAAATAGAAAGAAAAGAACAGGTCAAAATAATAGACCACGGTTAAATAACCCAAAGGATATTTTGAATTTAAATAGAATGTCCCAAATAGGAGCTAGTCAATGTAATTTAAAAAGAATGTCCCAAATAGGAGCTAGTCAATGTGCTGCTTGAGTTAGTGTCCTCCAAAATAACTCTTCCAGGGTCTTCTTTAAACAGTATCTTAGAAGAAATATCAGGAAAATGTTGAAATTTACCACTATATGATGTTCCTTCCTGTCTCTTAAAACAGGCCTTAACATTAAGCAGCTTAATGAAGTCAAAATAATTATGAACTATTTCTTTTCTGGCAGAGAAGCCCAGTATGTTTATGAATTTCATACTGTATATGGGTTTTATTTTTCCTGCTCTCCCACAAAAGTAACAAATAAAAATAAAAGTCTCTCTGAGTTCATTCATGTTTAATAGGGTAGAGAAGCCAAATACTACAGTCATTATTAAGCCTCCGTTGCTTCATTTTCTTTTGCCGAAGTTTTAAAGTGTTCTAAAACAGTATTGTGAGATATTCCTACTGAGGTCTCTGTGTGTGAATACCTTGAACTTTATTTGTTGTCTGTGTGGATTTTAATTTTTGATCAATTGAAACTTGTAAAGAGTGTGCTGGTTTTGAGGACGTTGAATGCCTTTTTCCTCAAGGTTTTGAGGCAGTATCTAGGGAGTATAATGGATGTTTCTAGGTCTCTTATTTGTCATTCTGTTCTGGGAACAGGATGTGGATGAGATATATTTTCAGTCAGACACATCACAGTTTTTTCTTCTGCTCTAGAAATAGAGCAAAGCCTTACACCATTTCATTCTTCCTTGAGCCTCAATCCTTCTCTTTAATTCAAGAGGTGGCAGGCAATGGGTGACGTGAACTGTCCAGATAAAGAGCTAGACTTGGCCTGGTATACTGGCCAAAGTGATGCCATACTACAGGACAGCCTTGCTGCTGAGAATTGTGTTCAAATGATCAAGCTGGCTGTTTTAATTGTAATAAAGGCTGACAGGGAAGAGAGTACTGTCCTGTTAAGCATGTTTCGCAAAAGTGCTTTTGGAAACAGGCAGTGGTAGAATGCATGTAACAAAAATGTTCCTTCAATATGTATGAGGATTTAATGCACTGGGATTATACAGTAAATAATTTAGCAAAGAGGAAAAAGGTCAGGGCAGCTGGGAATGAGAGCAGTATGTCTTTGGGTCTGGGGATTTGGAGCTTACTGATTTTTAAGCCTCTTCTGTGAATTGGACATTTAAGCTCTTCCAGACAGACAGCGTATGAGCATCAGTAGCCAAAAAGCACCTTGCCATTATTTTACCATTTGCATATCACAAACATTTTGTTACAGATATAAGATGGTAGAAAAAAATAACTTGAAGTTGCAAATAATACCATATTGTATTCTGTAAACTTGATAAATTCTGTTTCAGACAGGGCAATTGAATAATGAAAATTACTTGGAGCTAATCCTCCTTTTAGACACAGTGTATGGATGTATTTTAACAGTATCTCAATAACTTCTTTTAAATTATTACTTTGATTTTACCACAAATAATTATATAATGGTGAAAATGATAAAAATGTATAAGTATACTGAAATGGTTGAGGTAGAAACAGAAACTTGAGATGATAGCAATCAGATCCTAGAAGTCAAAAAAAAAAAAAAAAGGAATGGAATTAATGCTAGAATATTCTTGGAGGACAAAGAGTGGCTAGACAGCCAGAGAAGGCCAGTATTAAATAATATATCTGATAATAAGCAGTAGGATTTAAAAATTTGTTTTCCATCCCATCTTTCATTTATAAGCTGATCACATTTTGCAGGATCCTAGGGCACATATATTTGCCTTCATTTGGGATCAAAATTTCCTTTAATTCTGTGGTTAATTGTAAGCTCTCCTTTGAAAAGATAGATGAAGTAAAGAATATTTGTGTAAATATTAGAAAAATTAAATATTAGTATTGAAAGAAGGAAAATGCTCGTATTTTTTAAAAAGTAGGAATTCTGTGAGAAACACATTTTAAAAAGTATCAGCTTCTTCAATTTTGCAAGGAAAAAAGCGAACTATCCAACGTTAGGGGAATTATTCTGGTCTTTTCAAAACAGTTATATCACCATAAAAGTGGCTTTTTAAATATTTTACATTTGTTAACATGATGATCAGAGAAGGGGAGTGTAAATTAAATAATAATTGTAATTAGTAATAACTGCCCCAAAATGAGTAGTAGATCCTTGTATCTTTTATTCTAAATGCTAAACTTTTTAAATATAAAATGCTTTATGCCAGTGGTTCTCAACCTGTGGGTCGGGACCCCATTTGGGGTCGAACGACCATTTCACGGGGGTCACCAAACAACGCAGTCCACCATTTTTTTCCCCCTTTTCCTTAGCTGTGCTACTCCTTGAATAGAGTCTAATTCTATTGGCTTTCAAAAGCCAACAGGAATTGTCCAGGCTGTCTCTGCCCTGCTGAGCCCGCCAAAAGTCTCATTCTGCAAACAGTGCTGTACCAGTTGAGTAGTCCTCGACTTACGACCGGTTGAGTAGTCCTTGACTTACGACCGGTTGGGGGTCGCGGCATTAAAAAGGTTGAGAACCACTGTTTTATGCATTTATTTAGTCAGCCATATGTTATTTCTCTCTGCTAATATAAGTAATCTGATTTTAGGTTACTTTCAAATTTTCAGTTTTATAGCTTGCTTTGCTAGAATAAGCTTTAGAAAATCCAGTGTCACTTAAAGACAAGAGGATGTGTTTGAGAACCGTGTCTTCTGAAATAAATAGGGTGATAGCATATGAGGTAACTAACACAGATTCAGAACTTTGTAAGAATCTGGGACTGACTACCTATGATGGCAGGGTGGATCAAGCAGCTGTGCATTCCTAGAGTTTTCGTTTGCCAGTGTCTCTATCTAAATCTCTCTTAAACATTTGTACATTATAAATTTGAACATGTGGACGTCTAGGAAAAAATTAACCAAATGCTCTCTGAATAACACTTGTCTTTGAATTTAAAAAAAAACCTCATTGTAACGAGGAATTACTGTTCTAGCAATTTTGAAATATTCAGCATCTCCTATCTTGCTTTTTTATTTATGTAATGTTTTCCCCATGTAGGGCCTATAGCCATATGTTACCATTAGTAGAAAATGGAGGAAGTCACTAATTTGAGAAATCTATAACATTCATTAATGTTACTGATATTAGTTAATCAAATCAAAAAATGCTAGCTAAAAAGAGTGCATTTTACAATCTCCTTCATGTATCTGACTTTTACTTACCTCGTTTAAGAAGTTGGGAAGTCTGCCAGAAATTAACACAGCTGGTTTATCGTTTATGACTCAGAAAATGACTCAATTTGTTAGCCTAGTAACTTATTTCTAAATATTTCTTCTACTTGTTTTTTTCTTCTTGAACAAGTTACTTTTTTTAACCTTACAACTTTGTACTTGTGATATACCATAAAAATAATTTTCAGAAAATATCCAAGATATCATCTCAAATTGTTAAATGTGCTATCTAGTCCAAAGAATTGAAATCCACATAGTTTTTCCCTGTTTTCTTCCTAAAAGCCATTTCAGTATTCTTTTTCTTTAGTTGGAAAAACGTAATTTTTCTAAAGCCTCTTATTTGTTATGTGGGAAATGACAGATTGTGCATTATTTTTGTCTCTTTGTTTTACGTACCAATTGTAGTACCAAGATGCTTCTGTAGGCTTCATTTTGGAAAATTTGACTAGAGAGACGAACACTAAAGATAATCTTTGCAATTTACAGCAGTGAACATCTGTCTTTAGTCTAATGACTTTTTAGGGAAGAGAAAAACAAAAACAGGTTCTGTAACTTAATACTATAGCTATATGACAGAAAGCCAGTAGGTTTCAAAGAGCCCTGGTATAATGTAGTTTCAAACATTTAATTCCCCAAAGTGTTAGGAATGCCTGCATTAATAAAAAAAATCTTCCTTCAAGATATGGGTGAAAATTTAAATATTCCTGAGTATATAACTTCTACTACTGTCCACATGCATAATAAGAAAACGGCATTTTATTGTTGGAAGATTACTGTAAAAAATAAGTAAAAATAAAATCAAAATAACTTTTTTTTAATAATGTGGTTTTACTTTGCATGCTTTGGGTCCAAGCAGCTGAGAACCTGGTAAAATATTTTATTTATTTTTAAAACTATGCAAAAGATAGAAGATTCCTAAAATAGTTTATGAAATAGAACAAATACTGTTGTATATAACATGCCACTTTAGGAATTAATTTAAAAGCTCTCTGGTGTAATTACTGTCTATCTAATATAAATTTATCAGTTAAGATTTAAGCTGAGTCATACTGAAATTTTCTTTAACAAATTTCCCTCTAAAGCCTCGGATTTTTTATTTATGTAACACTTAATACAATTCAGTAGGTTTTGACTAAATCTGATAAGTAATGCCAGCCATTTTATTTTTGTAGCATAATGTATGGTTTATCATTGTATCTGAGCCTATCAATATTCAGAACAGCCATCTTGAAAAAAGCAGGCAATAAATTAAGATTAAAAATAAGATAAAATAAAATTAGTCATAATTGTTGGGATTGTAAAGAAGATTCAAAATATAATCAATGTGTTTCTTCTTTTTTAAAGGTAATCAAATGGATAATACTATGAAAGATATTACAGATGAATTCAGTCTGCGAGATACTATAAGCATTGGATCAACAGATTCATTTGTTTCAGCTGCTGAGGTATACTGAGGCAACATTTGTTGTTGTATTGTGTAAATTATCACCTGAGATCTTGTACTCAATTAATTAATGGCTTCTGCTGGTCTTTAATTAAATCTCCTAGAACACGGGTGTCAAACTCGCCACGTTACGTGACATGTTGTGACGTATCGTGACTTTTTTTTTGCATTGCCAGAGCTGGGGTTGGCGCGGCCTCCATATGATGCAACTGGCCCGCAGGGCGGCAGTTTGACATCCCTGTCCTAGAACAAAATGTCTTGACAAATGTATACAGATTCACAGATATGTGAAGATTAATTGTGATTGTCTGACATTTAATAATAATAATAGTAGTAATAGTAGTAGTAGTAGTAGTAGTAGTAGTAGTAGTAAAATTGGAAGGGACCTTGGAGGTCATCTAGTCCAACCCCCTGCTTGGCAGGAAACCCTATACCATTTTGGACAAATGGCTGTCCAGTCTCTTCTTAAAAACTTCCAGTGTTGGAGCATTTACAGCTTCTGGAGGCAGGTTGTTCCACTGGTTAATTGCTCTCACTCTCATTTAAACATTACGAATACTCATAACATTTTTTTCTCATTCGGTTGTGTCCGATTCTCAGAGACTGCCTGGGCAAGTATCTGCAGTTGTCTTGGCAAGTTTTTTTCAGTATTTGTTTGCTGTTGCCTCCTTCCTGAGGCTGAGACTGGCTATGAAAGTGACTGGCCCAAAGTCACCGAGGTGGTTTTGAGCCTAAGGTGGGACTAGAACACATGGTCTCGTGCCTTCTATCCTGATGCCTTAACCACTACTCAAACTGACTTATAACAATTATGAATACATAACATGCAACATAACATGCAACATAACAATTAAGAACACATAAAATAAAATATTCACAGATGAATCACTAGAACATGAAAATTTCCATAAGTTCACAGCAAAGATGCCTATTATATGTCATTCTATTAATGATATAATGAATTCTAATAGTCACTTTTTTCAATAAAAACATTGCAAGGAAATTGATGGTTTTGAAGTTCTCAGCTGGTTACACTATTGGAATTGTAATGTTTATTTCCCGGAAAGACATAGTTAATCTGGGACAGCTGTAAGATAGATTGCATCTGTCATTTATTTTGAAATATAACAACAATTTCAAGGTATAGATTTACTTACTGGATTATTGAGAAAGGGGCGATTTTAAAGGATAATGTTAATTACAATATTAATTGCTCATTTTAGGATGATTGTAAATTGTTCCATAAACATTGGTTAAAATCCTGTTTGTGGTTGTAAATCAAATACATATTATTGTACTTTTAATATCAAAAAATTAATATTCTGCCTTAAAAGTGACTTGCAAATTACTATCTATTGGAGAATAATGCCATCTAACTTAAGTAAGCAAGTCTTCATGTTCAGCAGATACAATATTATTTAAAAATTTTCCATTGGCTGTCAATTAACTACTGAACCAGGGTCCAGGAAGTTGTTCTCCATTTATAAATCTGTATAGCTCTGGACTAGGTTATCTGGAAACTGCTTTCTTCTATAGGACTACCTATTTTTATGTCCTTCAGATGTTATCTTGTTAGTATAGTTTGATAATATGCATATAATAGTGATATGACAGAAAGCATTCACTCTAGAGTGCTTTCTGTGTGGAATAGGATATTTGCGGAATGCCATTATGAAGATGTTTTTCCCCCAAATCAAGTAATTATTCATCAAGTTATTTCTGACTACCAAATTGCTAAGTTTAATAATGATTGTAAGGTTTTATGGTTTGGACTTTTACAGGTGGATTTTATTATGTTTTATTACATTACATTCTTGTCCTGGAATTTACTTTGGGAATTCATTTATTAAAAGGCTTTGAAACTTTTCTTTATAACAAAAGAATCCCTCTTCCAGTTATGCAAGTAATGATACAAAATAATAATGTTTTATTTTCCCCGTTTCTTTGTCCCTTCTTACAGACCACTTAAGTCACTTAATTTACTTTGAACTTTTGAGAGAGAAAGAGAGAGAGAGAGAGAGAGAGAGAGAGAGAGAGAGAGAGAGAGAGAGAGAGAGAGAGAGAGAGAGATGTGTAAATTAATCTCTAATTCTTTTCTCATTTATCGTGGCTACATATCCCTGTTTTGGGGCGAACAAAACTATTTTTGCTGTCCAAGAATGTAATTTTCTGCCTTAATATACTGTGGATGCTTATTTCCCTATTCTTAATTTCTCTTTGTTCTGCTGCTTTTACAAAGTAACATGTCTGTGATCCAGGTGTTACCCTAATTTTTCTTTCACATATTTGATTTTCATAATTATCTGTAATTTAAAGTGATATTAAAAAACAGGTGCCATTCAAAAGATTACAAAGGTGTTATGTTTGAAAGTAACTTGGTAACTAAAACTTTTTTTTTTAGCTTACAGAACATAAAGAGAGCCGAAACTATTATCATCTGGATTCACTTTGCCACTGCCCATTATATGAAGAAGCTTTGCACATGGCAGAAGAGGGAAAGATTTATTCACGTGTCTTAAGGTCAAAATGTCTTTACATTTCTGAAAATTCTTATGGCAGAGTTTTTAAAACATTGTCAGAACTTTTATTGATTGTTTTCAAATATGTCTAAATTAAAGTGCCTGTCTGTGATTATCTTTGAAATATTATTTATTTTGTGCATAGGACTGAAATGTTGGAATGTTTGGGAGACAGTGACTTCCTTGCTAAGCTCCACTGTATTCGACAAGCTTTTCAGGTAGAACTCTACGAGACACATTTTAATTCATCTTTGTGCTACTTACGGTGCATCTCTATTAAATTATTACAAAGAGATTTGTAATCAGAACCAAACAAGTTACATAACCAGTATTATGCAGTTTTTGCAACTTACAGGTAGTCCTTGATTTACAATTGGTTGTTTAACAACTATTCAAAGTTTACAACAAAAATTGGACTTATGACGCAGATTCAAAGTTCTGACATTTGCTCCCCCTGTGGTCATATGACTGCATTTGGGATGCTTGGCAACTGGTCTGCCTTTATGGCCGTTTGCAGCACCTCATGAATATGTGACCACAACTTACAATGTTTTTGTTGAAAATCAGCTTTTACCTCTGTTTCTAGCAAAAAGAGTTTAAAACATTTACAAAGAAACTAACTAGAGTGCTTAGAAAGCTGGCTTAGTTCATAATCAGATGCTATGTATAGTCACGATCAGTTAATATTGTTTAAATTTAGCCATTTCCAGGGAAGTTTAAAATACTGGCACATTTGGAAAAATCTCTACCATTTGGTCCCTTTCCAAGCACATATGTAGACTTTGTTTCCAGCCCTTAAGGATGAAGTCTCCAAGAATTTCATTATTGGTTGACATTTTTTTCTGCCATGATTCATATAGTAATTTAGGTACATGCTTATTCATGATTCTTGACAAAATGATAGTTGGCTGGGGTCATACACTATGTTAAAACATAACCTGTGGATTATATACCCCAGTGGCTTTGTTCACACAACAAGATAAGCTAAAACCAAGCAGATTACAAAATGGCTTAGGACATTGTGTGAACACAACCATAGATTCCATTCCCGTTCTTGTTAAAATAAGTTTACTCAAGAAGATATTTAGTGACATTACTCTTTGAGTAATAGGGCCTAAAACTTAGATGGATTTGTGCATTTGGTTTCAATTTTGAGTTCTAACAACTTTTACTCATGCTTTTTTTAAAAAAACAAAAACAGGTCATTCTTTCAGACTCTGCAAATCGAATATTTCTTGCTGAAAGTGGCAGAAGAATTTTATGTGCTTTAATTTTGAGAGCAAGAAAGGTAAACCTATTTTGTTTTAATAACTGGTACAGTATATTGTAACAGGTTTGATCATTTAGTGCCCTTATAACATGAGTTAAGAAACAAGTATTCCTATTTTGGAAAAGTAGTATCCTGCTTTTAAGATTATAAATTTGGTCTACATGTGGCAGTGATTGTTCATATGAGTTTATGGTTATATATTTCTAAAATGTATTGTTTTGCATGCCATTTTCTAAAACATGTACACAAAGTCAGGTATCAGAATATACTATGCCTTATAGTGAGATACTCTTTATTTCTAGATTATCCTTTGACTTACAAATAAACAGTGATGTCAATGCTAAGGCAAGGATGAAAGAATCCATATAACATGCACGCTATTTTTTCAAGAGTTTTCTGTTCTCATTTACAGAATCCAAAGAAATTTGAGGAAGTATTTGATGAAATGATCTCTTTTTTAGAACAAGCAGATCAATGGATTCATACTGAAATGGAGTTGGCTGCTTATGGGGTATGTACAGTATATTGTTACTCTTTGCTTTCAATTAAATGTTTAACTCTTTTTTTTTTTCCTTTGGCTCTAGATAGCTATAATTCCTTACTGAACTTTGTTTTGTTATCGTTATCTAGTTTATTTATTCTTTTATATTTACTAAGTTTGAATAAACAATTTGTTTAAAATGTCACCAGGATTTTTACTGTAATTTATAGCATGGACTTGTTAATGATTTTTCTTTTTTATAAATGTGCTCAGTACCCTTTTTAAAATTTGATCCTCATGTAGGTGAAACACTTAAACTTTTATGATGTTGTTTTGGACTTCATATTAATGGATTCTTTTGAAGACTTAGAGAACCCACCCATGTCTATACAGAATATAGTTAATAACCACTGGCTGAACTCTTCCTTCAAAGAAACTGTAAGTCCATATTTGTTTCACTCCATGCTTCAGTAGTACCATTAACTGGTAGGAGATATCAACTCCATGTATTAACATCAGGCTGGGACCCAGTTTGTGGAGAGAAGTATTTCTCAACTTTTTAAAGTATGGATAAGAGGCAGCCTCTCTAGAGTTCAGGTCTTTGAGAAAGCATTTTAAGCAGAATGAACAGGATGCTGGTACTCCGTTGAGAAAGAAAGACGGACATGGTTCTCTTGGATCCCCCGAGAAAAGGGTCGGGGTGTATTGGTTCCAAGTAAGATGAGTCATACTTTGAATGAAAGCTTATTATAGTGTTTTTCTTATGTAAGGTTTTCAAAATTGCCATGGTTGTGTTTTCTTAGTTGATTTCAGTCTCTCATTTTTTTTCATAATTTAGGCCACATTTTTATAGTAATATCCAAGTATAAAGGAGTATAGTATTCAATAATTTGATATGCTACATGTGAAGAAATGTCATTAGACATCTTACACAATGGTCTAAATAACTGTTTCTCTTCTACGTTTTGTTATGCTCCAAGTCAGTTAATATGTCCCTCATTCATGATTTAAGTGTGTTAGGATGTATATAAAACCAATATTGGAACTGTGTATACAGTAATCAGCCTTTTTCTATATTCTATTCAGCATCAGATCAGGTTAAAGGGTTGGGTTAGGCAGGGGTAGGCAACCTTGGCTCTTTTATGACTAATGGACTTCAACTCCCAGAATTCCTGAGCCAGCCACGAGTCATAAAAGAGCCAAGGTTGCCTACCCCTGGGTTAGGGTTAGGGATAGAGTTAGGCAGGTTAAGCAACCACCCAGTCACCTGTGGCTGATGAAGAGAATCTTAAATTTGGATGCTGATAGCAATATTTTAATTAGATATATAGTAGATCAGCTAAGGATGCTATATAGTGGTATTTGAAAATGACCTCGGGAGACAGAGCAAAGAGATGAGCCAAGGAAATAGTCAGTTAAAAGACAGCTGAGCCTGTAGCAAGAATATGGACAGGGCAAGAGACTTAGAAGAAACCTTCCCTAGTTTCTTGGGCTGTAAAGGAAATGGGGAAGAGATAACCTTTAAACCTACAAGCAGTGGTGGGATTCAAGTATGTGAACAACTGGTTCTCTGTGTAGATGCCGCTTCCAGAAGTCCATTCTGCGCCTGGGCAACAAAAATTAGCTATCGGTTCTGTCAGACTGGTGCAAAATGGCTGAATCCCACCACCACTTACAAGATTTTGTTAATGCAGCATTACAATAAAGAAGAATTAGCTCATCTGGTCCTATTCTCTCTCTGCTCTAATGCATGTTATTACCTTCATGGAAACCATGGCTCTCTGTATATATATCAAGGTGACATTAAGAACAAATCACACTTTAAATTTTACTTTCTCAATTGGACAGGAAGATAGCATTGTGAAGATGTCACATTTGACATTATTGTTTTATCAGAACAGTTTGTTTGAGATTTAGGAGTGCAATAATAAATAGTCTGCTAAAGGATGTAAGTATTTTTAGGGTAGTTTCAACTTTTTGATATATAGCTCAAGGAGGCCAAAGAAATCAATTGGGAAACAGATAGAATATATTGAAAGAAAATTCTTCTTAGATTTCGTTAAACTCACTATTGAATCTATTCAGTGGGAGTGATAAAATGAAAAATATTTTTTATTCTTCAGCCATCTTCAGTTCTCTCAACATTGTTATTCTTTTGGGTTTTAGCTCAAACAGAAGAGCTGCTAGAATATTTTGTAGCATATTTGGGAGCATTATTGTTTACAGGCAGTATAGCTTAGATTCTACAATACATACGGTACATTACAATTTGGAATGACCAGATTATTGCATGTTGCAGTTTTAAGGGACCAAGAATATGGACAATTTTTCTGGCATTTTGTTGTTCTGCCCTTTGCCTTCCCTGGCTTATTACAGCTAGGCAAATTATGATTAGTGAGTCTGTGAGATCATAGATTCTTCTTTAAGAAACAGAATATTGCAATGCTATTAAGGAACATAGTAGTGCCATTTTTTTAGCAGAGCCATCATCAGATGTAGATGATCATACTAATAAGGTGACCAACCATCCTCCTTTAGGGAGGACAGTCCTCCTTTTGTAAGTTCTGTCGTCCCTCAAAAAGTGTCCTCCTTCATGTCCTCCTTTTTGATATTTGAAGACTAATCTGCAGGGCTTTTTTTCCCCCTCATAGAACACTCAGAATAGCATTCCAACACCTTTTTTTGATGGGTTTTTTTTTCAACTTTTGCATGAGCTGTGCTACTCCCACTATTGGCTTTCGAAAGCCGATAGGAATTGCTGCTGAGCGCGCCAAAACACCCGGCCGGCAAACTTTGCACATGCAAGTTGTCTGTATTATTGTTGCAATGAATAAAATGTTTCTTTTATTTACGATATTTTTTCTTCAATTTATTTGTGTCCTCCTTTTCATTGTAAAAAAGTTGGTCACCTTAATGCTAATAATTATAGTCCTTGGTTGGCATTTCTTTTCTTGGCAAAGAGCTTGAATATGTTGTAGTCCTTCATGATTCTTTCTTATCCTCTGTGCTATTTATTATTTTCACAAAAGCAATTAGTTGAAACTCCTGGGAGATTTATAGATTAGTATTACAGGTAGTGTTCGATTTACAACCACAATTGAGCCCCAAAATTATATTGCTAAGTAAGACATTTATTAAGTGAGTTTTAGCCCCATTTTACGATACTTCTTGCTACATTGTTAAGTGAATCACTGCAGTTGTTAAGTTAGTAATATGGTTGTTAAGTGAATCTGATTTTCCCATTGACTTTGCTTGTCAGAAGGTCGCAAAAGATGATCACAGTGCAACTGTCATAAATGTGAGACAGTTGCCAATCATTTCAATTTTGATCATGTGACCATAAAGATGCTGCAATGGTCGTTAAGTGTGAAAAATGGTCATAAATCACTTTTTTCAGGGCTGTTTTGATGGTTGCTGAATGAACGGTTGTAAGTCAAGGACTACCCATATTGACATATGGACTACCTGTATTGACATATATATTTGACATTCATAGATTGAAGGCATTTTGTAGTTGTTGTTTTTTTGGTTTTTTTTTTGAGTAGGGGTACAACTTTCTGCCTCTTAGTATATTTGTTGGCATCCCAGCAACAAATCTACATGGATAGAGATTGCTTGGCTTCAGTGATCCATCTTTTAATAATCTCTCACTTCATTTTTTTGCAATGCATTGTACAAGGGGCTGCCTTTGGAGATGGTCCACAAACTGCAGATGTACGAGCCCTGGCATCAAGAACTGTGACTGGAACTGGATGTTCCAGTCACAGTGAATCATCATTGGCTTTTGGCCATTTCTGGATCCAATTCTAAATTCTGTTTTTAAATCCTTTGTAGCATCTTCATACATATACCTGAGCTCTAATAGCAGAGGTCCAAGGGCTGTAATGTACTAACAAAGTGAGATTAATTTCAAAAAAATATGCCATATGTTAGATTCAGTTAGAATCTGAACTTCTCTACCTCTGAATTTTGTTTCCATTTTTTAATCTAGAGTATATTTTTTTGCCTCTCAGCTCTTCATCTGTCTTGGAAGCAGGTCTGGCCTGCCATTGTTATTATCCATTCATTCCTTTCTGTACCAATCCAGCATCCAGGGCGCTGGATTGGTAAAGAATCCAGTTTACTCATTCCTGTTGTTTCCTTTCTTCTTTTTCAGAGATATATATATGCACCTTTTCTTTCTTCTCACTTTGACTTCTACTCCTCGGTTCTTTCTGTGCTATTTGTATCCAATCTAATTTCGCTGTAGTAGACAGAGTTGTGAGCTTTATGATATTATCACCCCAATTCCAGGAAGAGGAACAATAAATATGCCATATATTTTCTTCCTTGCCTATTTCATTTGACCAGACTGGCTAAGTTCTAGTAAAAAAAAAGAGAGAGAATGGCTATGTGTAATTCTCTGAGAGGAAGTCATACATCTTCTAGTGTGCAAGCTTTCATTCTGTTTTGAATAGTTTTACTTTCTTTTATTATATATTTTGTTTATGTCTGCACTGTCCTTTGCCAGTCACATTTTACTTCCTAGTACTTAGAATGTTGTAGTACATTCCATTAAAATTCTGCTACATCCTACGGGAAGTAAATGTCTAGATTTGCCATCTGTATATTGTATGATTCCAGTCCTTATTAGGACAAAACTGCTTAGCTGTATCAAGAACTATTTAAACTATGCTTTTTCTTAGAATAGGTTTTTTTTTTTTACAATGCAGTCAAAACAAAAGAATTTGGTTTTATTTTTCTATCACTGCAGAGAGTTCTTGTTGATAGTTTTACATAAATATGTAGTTTCCTTTAAACACTGAGATTAATAAAATGTTTTTTAAAGAGTCTTAAAATTCATATGTTTCAAAAGATATTTCCAAAAGAATGTTTTTCTAAATAAGAAATATCATAGCACGATTGGGTATCTGCAATTGGAAGAGTTAAGACTGTTCTAGTAATGAGCATTATTAATTCTGCCAGTATTGATGTTAATGCTGATTAAAAGAATGAGTTTAACAAGAAGCAAATTATGTACAAACTGTGTAACATTTTAATTAAATTAAAAGAAATTAAAGAAGAACATTCCTAATCTTTTATAAATAGTAAGGCAGATGTATTTGGGCCTGTCTTTACAGTACATAGTTTAGAAACCATTATTCCTATTTGGCACACTGAAACTTTCTGTGGTATTGGAAAACTGGCATTAGAATAATTGCGCTTTGCTGGTTCAACCATATTTATTTTAACCAGGCTCCTGTTTTTTATTAAAATGCTTAGATCTAGATGCTGCAAAATACTATGCTAGGAGGTAGCAAGCAATGGATATTTCCACAAGAAAAATTATTGTGGTACCAGAGAGATAACAAAAGACTATTGCATAGTTGTACTATTGCATTGATAGTATCTTGTTTCATTTCTCCTGATGGCACAGGAAAATAATATTTCTTTGCAAAAATCTACCTGTATGGAAGCTCTTTTGAATATATCAGAGTTTCATTTTCCTACAGTCCCCAAACAGAAATTATTTGAAGCATTGCAAATACAGTAATATAAGCCTGAGACCACCACTGCTTGGGTTCTTATTTCTCTTTGTTCCATGTTGTTTTGTTCTTTATTGTAAAATACTTTGTTATAAAGATACATTTTTTTCCATAGCTGATTTGAATACATTTAGTTTTCTTCTTGCTTTTATTTAATCTTGTTTTTCCTTAAATAATGTGCAATGTTAATTCATTTGGAACATAGAAAATAAAATAATAAAGTTTGAAGGGACCTGTATTTAAAATAGATCTGCGCAGTAGAATTAAATGTGTGGATAGTAAAAATTAAGAACTAATCTAAACAAATGTAATATTACAGATGACTGCTCAGGGTGCATTCTACTGTTTCCTCCTTTTTAAGTGCTGCTCATGTGTTTTCCAATGTGCATTTCCCATAGAATATGACTGATGTGATTCTGTTACATGAATAGCATGGCTTTTTCCTGTTGAGTGGCTGTTGTAAGGGATGTGTGAAAGAACTTTGTGATTATCTTCTCCCGTGTCCCAACAGTACTCAAACAAATAATAAGCATGTGTACACACATGTTAATTGAGTCATACTGATTACTGGTTAATACGCACAACACCATATTACCCCAATCTTATAATTTCTTAACCATAGTTGATGTGTTTTTATAAAGTTAGTCACAAACTCAGCTCTGCTTACTATAACTGATAAGTAACCTGGGTTTCAAACTTTGATTGCTGCTCACTGAAAATGATAAGCCCTGGATTCAGATAACAATGAAGAAAGATAACAACAGGAAAGTCATTGTTGTTAAAGAATCATGTTAGGCATTGGAAAAATGTCATTGCACTCATTCCAGTTAGCTAACCAAAATGACCCAGATTTCTGGTACAAAATCTTTCTGGCCTTGCCATGGATATTATTGTATAGTGACTATTCTATTCCTATTCCGCATGCAGAAATATCTTTCAGCTTGTACATTCTATCATCCACCTTTGTAATTTTAGATCAGATTATAAATATTTGCTGCTATCACAAGAATATAGGTAGATTCTTAATCACTAAGTTACATTAACTTTTAGAAAAACTGCTAAACTGCATGGAGAGAACAAGAAAAATGAGATGCAAATCCCATACTTTGAGCAATAAATAATGCACATTTTATAAAATCAGTTAAATTTATATTATTGCAAGGTCAATATATTTTAAATTTAGGTCAAATTATTTTATATTTTAGCTGTTACTTCTAAATATAAAGTGTTTCATGCTTGCAAGTAAATAAAACCAAAAAAATTATCTTACTTAGGCTGTGGCTTCAAGTTGTTGGTCAGTCCTGAAGCAAAAAAAGCAACAAATGAAAGTAAGTAGCCTGACATTTTACATTAGAAGACATCTGTGTAGCGCTCTATACATTTGTTTTGCAATGTCAGTTGCCAATTTAAGACAGTCTGTAGATTGTTTAACATTATTTGTGTATATCTATATACCTATGATGGTAAATTATTAGAAGTATGAATAAAAAGATAATAGTGCGTATTCTTGAACCATTTTAATACAATTTATCATATCTTAAATGACAGTTGAATGATAGGCAAAATTAGTAATCTCATGAGTGAAGTAACAAGTTTATGATTCTGTTAAAAAACTGGCTGAAAATTGAGGGAATTGTTTAGGAGGAGTTGCTTTATATCAGATCTGGGCATTTTACAGCCTGTGGGCCACATCTGGCCTTTCGGCTGTTCCTGTATAGTCTGTAGCAATGGGGGGGAGGGGCGGCAATGGGCAGGGCAGCAGGGGAGGCAGTGAAGTTTGGGGTGAGGGTGGAAGTAGTGGTGGCCCTCCACAACAGTCCAAGTTATATGGATGTGGCCCCTTGGGACAACGAATTACCCACCCCTGCTTTATATTGTTCACAGTTGTATAAAGTAAATGCTGTTCTGAGAATAGCAATACATTTTGAAATTTTAATATATAATCATAAAGAACCATAAAGTACATTTTAATCCATACATCTCAAAACAAGAACAGCAATCTCTTAAAAGTTAGAATGTATTTAATGTGCTGTGTTAATTCACATCCTGATGTGTTTATGTCCATATAGAGTATAAGGGGGTGTGGGGGTGTAAAAAAGTAGAATGAAAACTTCAACAGAAACAAGTTAGAACACATGTTTGTTCTCAAGGGCATTGAATGATCATTCAGTAAAAATACAGGGCTGAATGCCATGAACTTTGCATGTGGAAGAACAACTTTCACCTGCAGTTTGCAATTTGATGACTTATCTCAAATCCTCAATTACCATACTGCCCTATTCTCTGATTCAGTACATATTCATGAATAATGGGCACCCTTCTAGTCAACTACAGTAAAGCAAAGTTGTATGGTTTCCCCATACTAAAGCTGCACACTACTGCATTTTTTTGATAAATTACTCTTAACCCTTACATATAACTTTTCAGAACTAAATCCTATTCAGCTTAATCCATTTAATAAGATCGAACTGTAAGATTGAGCAACCTAATGAGCATTTACATAGATAACAGCTTCATGTGACCTTCATGGGCATGTTATTTGGCCACCAGGAGTTGATATTAAGTTTATAAAAGATTGCAACTTTTATAAGTTTATTATGAAGATTGCAGGTTTAAAGATGTCACAATTGTTTATACTTAAGATGCGGGGTATGATTAGCCTTTTCTGTACCAATTACATCTTTAGGTTCCTGATGGCTTCTTTGCACATTTCTATGCTGTTTGTGAACATATTAGCCCTGTTCTGGCATGGGGATTTTTAGGTCCTAGAAATTCGCTGAACGAATTATGCAGCTATTTCAAGGTATGTGGCTTTATTTTATCAAGAGTTTACTGAATACCAATGAAAATACAAATGAACTAGTAAAACTAGTTTTTGTGAGACATCCTATAGATTACAGCTGTTAATTAAAACATTTTTATTTTTTGCATTTATTTTTGTTAGAATCAGATTCTTTATTTCCTGAAAGATATTTTTGACTTTGAAAAAGTGCGATACTCATCAGTGGATAATTTAGCTGAAGACCTTCTGCAATTGCTAATCCGGCACACTAATATTTTATTGGTCTACTTTGGAGTAAGCGGATGTCAACACCCAACAGCCAGTGACCTTTCAGAGGCAAAAGTACAATAAATTTCTGTTTTTGTTCTTCACGTGAGCATATTTTTGCCTTTTTCTCCCGCAAGAGAATTTAATATTGTTTCTTTATGAGCAAGTACCCCAAAATCTACAATATTGTCAAATGTGGCCTCAGGGAGATATATATATATATATCATGCTTAAATTATTGCTGTACATAGCATTTAAAATATTTCAATTGTCCTTGGATTTATACTTAACATATATTTTTAAACGGTTACATAAATATTATTTGTGGGGATAATACATTGTTCAGATCTCTGTGATGAAAGTGATACAAAAATACATTTTATAGTAAATAAGTTCCTCCCAGGTTTACAATGTATAAATTGCAATGTACAAAACTCTCAAAAGCTCCACTTGGTGATATGTTTGCCAAGACTTGCACCTTTTTTGTCTTAACAAATGTGCAATAAAAAAAAATACAGTGACAGATGATATAGTTTATGTATGTATAAGCTATAATTTACTGTATAGTGTAGCAACTGTAACAATGCATTTGGCCTTTGGACAATATTCTATGAGCACTATTGTAAAATTTAAGAGTTAATATCAAATATTTATGTAAATTATTTCTCATGATGTTTTACGTTGGTTGTACTGCATAAAATCAGAGTCTGGTGAACCTTTAGTAGTTGTTTTGAGTAGTTAATAATCTCTATCATATTTATTTATTTAGCAAATTTATGGATTGCTAAATATATAGATAACTCTCTGCAGAGCTTTTAAAATTTTATACGTACTATAAATAAGATCTTGTCTAATTGAATCTATTATTTAAAGTATATTTTAAGGGGGGAAATGTATATTAAAAAGAATAAAATGGTGCAAGGGTAAATACATGTTCCATTACAATTTTAAGTATGTGTTTGTCTCTTTAAAACAACAGGGATGCCAAATTAATACCTTTAATACCATGCATAGATGTGTTTTGTTTGATCATGGTTTATTGTATTATCCACAATTGAGTATACAAAGCTATATAAGACATGGTTTATAAGCACAATGGCCAGATTCACACAATACACGGATCCTCAATCATAGCACACATTTTTATTTAGAAGGATAAGTGAACCTAAACGGATGCTGTGATTGCTCTCTAAAACAGTACTAATCCTAGCATTCAGCCAGGAAACTTAAGCCTAGCTATTGTCTGTTTCCCCATGCATAGTGAAAGTATTTAGCCTTTATATTGTAGTAGTTTGTTGGACTGGATTTTCAAAAAATCCCTTGCCCAGTTCTGCCTTGCAATTCCAGTCTCTGCCCATGTCCAAAAGCCATTCTCTGTCACAAAATTAAACATTTGGTTTGAAACAGTATCAAACACTGAGGTACCCTATCATAGAGTGTATCTATGTATTATTCATGTTCTGCATATTTATTGTTTTATATATTTTTATTATACAAACATGGATAGTGATATTCCCTTGCATGAAGGAACATTTAATGCTATCCAGTCAGCACATAAAAGTCCTAAGATATTGTAGCCGTCCAAATATTGTGAATATATGATACAGGAAAATGTCATTTGAATCTTTATATTATGTAATACATATTAATATTTTCAATATTCTTTTTCCATCTACACAAAAGTAAATCAAAATAAGTCAATCTCTTTTTCCAGTTGCAGCAATTAGAAGACCATTCCTTTTGCAAAAATGTAAAATATCCATTTATTGTAAGCTGCCCAGAGTCACATAAAAATGACACATAAATTGAGCAAATAAATAGATAAATGATAGGATCCTAATGTTTGATTAGCAGTATCTTGAAAAGACATTAAGTATGAAAATTTGAATGGGCAGCTAATGGAGGCAACGGCAGGAAAAAACAAGATTAAAAAAGAGATCCTGGCTTAAAAGCAAACCAAAGAGAGGGATCTCTGGAAGTTAAGGCCACTGAAGAGGAAAATGGGTCATATTCAATGAAGCAGGAAAAGGAAGCTGAAGCTATCGTTGAATGATAGCATATATTTATGGCATTGCTTATATATGCATTTTGTGTACCATGATTTCATGGTCAGATCATCACAAAAAGGGACACACCATTCTTTCTCTGGTCATAGTGCTTCAGTAATAACGGAGTAATCGATGTAAGTACAAGTTAATAACTTTCACTGAATCAAAGGGGATTATTATTTTTCTTACAGGTAGTCCTCATTTAGCAACCACAATCAGGATTTGTAATTTGGTCACTAAGTGAAACCACAACTGTGCTTACAATCTGACATCAGCTTTCCTTCACTTTACAGACCCACGAAGGTCATCAATGTGAGAGGATTGGTTGTAGAGTGACTTTTGCCATCACTGTCATTTACTGCAAATGGGGGCTAAACAAGACATTTGCTAAATGAGGACTTCCATGTGTTTAGGGCTAAACACAGTGGCATGATGTTAGATTAGATTAGGTAGACCCAGAGTCAAATTCTCATTTACATTTGGAAGTTCACTGACTGTCTTGGGATTAATCACTATTTCTTAGCCTAACTTACCTCACAGGGCTGTTGTGGGGATAAAGCTGTAAAAGGAAATGGAGTGTATTCGACTGTTTGTGTCAGGGATTAACTACAAGGTTAATTATGCCAAAACAAAATATCAGCATTAGAAGTATAATGTGTTGGTTTGCTATCAGAGCTCAGGAAAACAGGTTATGTAACTCCTTGAATGAATAAATATTGCTATTAGTAAATAAACTTTATGCTATTGGCCTATTGTTCATTGTATATGAGGAACAAAGTGGAAACCAGGTGGGGAACAGACTAATCTTAACTTATTCTCTAGTCAGACACAAGTAAAAGTAATAAAAATTCTTCTTATCCTACACTCTACAAACTGATTCAGAAGGTAATTATACTCTGAGATACTCATGTATTTATTTTACAAGATCATTGCAACTGCTGATTTGACATAAGCTAATTTGACTACTAAATACAATGGGATGGTTTCATCAATCTGATGCTGGCTGGACTTCATGCTATCATAATTATCTGGTAAGTTTCTATTATTAGTCGCTTGCTCTGTGCAAGTTAGGGCTATAAAAAAGGCTACCAGCATTCACCCTCCTAACAGTTTCACTTCACAAAAGCGAAGCTTGCCAGAGATTTATTACTGTCCCAGAGGACTGTTATCCCCTGATCTGGAATATTTGTATACGTGGAAGGAAAATACATACACTCTTAAAACTAACAGTAAGTAATTCTTTCCCCCCAAAGCATTTAGATCTAGCTCCATCTGTTTCAACAAAATTGTAGTAAGAAAAATAGCTGGGGTGACTTTGTGATTCTTACTGTGTATTTGTGCAAGAGGGGGTGATACGAGTTACTTAATTGGTGTCAGATATTTTAGAAATCTATGTGCTCTCTCCAACCTCTTGTTCTTCACTTATTAGCATTAATGGAAACTGTACCTCAAATAATTGGAAGGGAAGTTGGGAAATGGCTATTTACTGGCCTGACATTCCAAGGTTGAGGCTGAGGACATACTTAATTTCTAATTAATAACTTAATCATAACTCTGTCCCAACGTGGTAACAAAATATGGTTTAAAAACCAAATTTCTCCTGTTCCATTTGGTGGCAAATTTAAAAACGAAGCGGTTTGTGGGGAGGAGGCAATCTTGAAACACAGCTTGATTTTCTGTGGCTTCTTGAACAGCTCTTGTATTTTGTCCGATTGTTCTGTCGTTATTCGACCAAAAAAAAAAAAAATCAGTGCCGTGGGAAATGCACTCTGGATATGCTCAGGAGCCCCCCCCCCCGCTTTTAGGCGATTGCTGACACTGAGTGATTGATGTCGAGCACCAATTATACTCCGACCCCTCCCTCTCATCCCACTTTTTAACTTGTCCGGTGCGTGGGGAGATTCTTTCTGAAGCCAGGGGGTTGGGAAATTTTGCAGTCGCCGGATATTTATAGCCTAACGGCGTTTTCAGCCCAAAATAACCCGGCTGGGCCGCTGAGGGGCCTCCGGAGGCGCGGCAAGGGCGCTGAGTGGGGGAAAGAAAGGAGGGGGCGGCCGCCGTGTGTGTCGGGACAGCTGCAGCTCGGCCTGGGCGCGCTTGGAATGCAGGAACGGGCTGCGCACCGAGACTTTTATGGAAACTTGCAGAGCCCGAGGCTGGAGCCGCAGCCAGCCAAGGAGCGCGCAGCACCAAGGGTAGGAGCGGGAGAGACGCTCGCCGGGCTCTTCTCACGCCCACCAGCCGCTCGGGATTAAACGAAAACGCACCGCGCGCTGCTCCCAGGTATCATCAATATATTTTTGTTGCGGGGAACGGGGGGGCGATTGGGACACAAAGGACGGCCTGCGCTCGTCTCTGACGCGCCTGGAGATGACAAGGCAGAGGGGAAATCGCGCGCGGCGGGGCAAGCGGGCTGCGGCTGGGTCCTGAGGGAAAGGATCTTGGGGGGGGGGGGCTGGTGCTTCGGCTTTCTGCCTTTGACATGTCCTCCGAAGGGGCTCCCTGCGTTACATTTCGGCCTCACTGAGGCGTTCGCGGGGTAGATTAGACGGAAACCAGGGTCCTCTCACGCACGCACATATGGCCCTTGCGGGTTTTCGGTGCGGGCGCGTGGGTGAGAACGGCGTTTTCCCCCTCTGGCGCCTTGGTTCTGCTGCTTCGACTCTCCTCAGAAAAGCGGCCGCTCGCCCCGTCTGGACTGCAGTCAAAAGAAAGAGCAACAGGCTCGGTCTCTCCCGGCAGTTTTACTTGGACGAAAATCCTAGACGCCCCAATGCGTTTAAAAATCTCAGGGGATCGGATCATAGCCAAGCTATTGTGCAATGGAATAACAGTCCGCGAAGAAAATGTTTTTTTCAAGACATCTTGAATGGGGTAATAAAGCCAGACGTCGCTCATTTTCAAGCAGGGTTTTCTTATTCTGAATCTGAAACATGTGCCAAAGCTCCTGGATCTAAAATTTCCTGCAGAGAGATCCCTCTGCGGTCAGGTCCCGCATATTATACAGTAATACATTTCAGTTGAATTAAAACATTTTCCCACCGCGTTCCAGGCAGATCATCTCTGAAGATGTTTCCTTCTTAAATGTCAGAGTAAAGGAAGCTTTTCTCTGAAAGGTGTAGCGATTGCGAGTTAGAAGGTAGTACCAATGATAGTATCAGTACTTAGTGGGAAGACAATAACTGCCAGAACTGTTGTTCTTGCCATTAGTCTGCTCTTATTATTGCATACAGAGACTTATTCTTGTGACAATAATCAGAATTCCAAAAGTTAAAGTTGCTTGCATCAACTGTATAAATTAGTATAAATTATATTGTATGATGGACGAGAGAGAGAGAGAGAGAGAGAGAGAGAGAGAGAGAGAGAGAGAGAGAGAGAGAAGCACAAAGGTGCTATTCTTGCATTGTAAGTGGACTTTTTTTTTAAAAAAAAAAAATCAGAACTAAGAAATGTAATATTTTTGTTTTATAGAAAATATGTTTTTAAAGCCAGAAGATGGAAAAAACCTTAGCTACTACATTTCATATTTGAAACAGGATGTGTGAAAGAACATATGTGCAAAAATATGTAGGCACATTATAGTTCTTTGATTTTTGTTGACAGAGAGCTCTTCCTCATGTTCATGTTACTGCACATTCCTTCAGATCTTGAGTTGGCAGAAACATTTATCTCTGCTTTAACTTGCTTCAGTAATAAGGCTGATGAGTGGTATTCTCCTTACTGGTTTGATACTGGACAAGTCAAGAACAGACATGGGTTGATTCCCCTGGCTGTATTTCTTCTCCCTTGGCATCACTGACCAGCATGAAAAAAAAACCCCAGCTATCATTGTCCTTAATATGTGGTGGGGCAAAGTTGAGTTAGTGTGGTCATGTGTCTGAGATGGACTGTTTAGCCACATAACAAGTTGCCAGTGCAGAGTTGTTATGCAGCTGTGACTTGTCAGTCAGTCTGTTTTGAAATGCATCTAACAATCTTCTGAAAGAGAATTACTGTAGACCAATATCCAAAGATAGCCAGGCTGACAGGCCAATGACTCAGTGGAGTTGAAGCAGAAGAGACCATGACTATATCAGAAACATTCTTTCCTGCCTTGTCTTGTTCCCTTCTGGACCATCACTTTCTCTGTTGAGCTATTCTTGAACATGAGTTTAGTTCTTTTTCTTCTTTTTCGGAAGCATGCTAAATGCCTGTAAAGAAACAGTGTGACAAGTCACAGCTGTGGAGCACCTCTCCATTAGTAACATGTCTATTGGACAATTTAAAAGGTGGCTAAAACCTGGCATCCCATTCATCTGTCTCAAACTTGTCCCACTACTATACATTAAAGAAAATGATTAGTTGTTTTCCAACTGGCTGGTGATGCTGTGGGAAGAGAAATACAGCCAAGTGAATCCACCAATTGCTGTCCTTGAGTTGCCCTGCAACAAAACTCTAAGGGCAGCCCCATTCACTGCCCTTGTTACTAAGAGGCATACTTCATACTGGCTGAGTTTTATGCCAACTTAAGGAACTGGAGGAATGTGCATTAACAGCTTTGAGGAAGAGCTCCCAAACCAGAACCAATGAACCTCTGCTTTGGGCTGGGGATGAGACAAAGGCAATGACATGAGGATATGTTGTTGTTTTAAAAGATGGTTAGTGAAACATTTTTGTGACATGTTTGGTGGGATGTAAAAATGAGCTTCTACCCTTTGATGCTGAATTAAATTAAAACTGTACAATATTTTATATTACTTTATGGCATGTAAATAAGACAAAGAGGGGGGTATCTAAAGTGCTGTGTTTTGTTTCATTTTGATGATACTTAAAATATCAATATTTTAACTGTGTTCAAAACTGGAAATTCTGTACATCTGTAAGTGCTCTGCAGTGCCCCCAAAGTATCTATGCCTCTATCAATGCCTCAACTCTATTCTCTGAACTGAAATGAGCAAACTATTTTCTCAAAGTTATAGTGTTTTAGTATTAAAAAATGGCATCCAGCCTTACAAGATTATTGTAACAAGTATTGAAATAATCCACTGAGAAAGTACACTACTCTATTAAACCTGTTAATTCTTATAGTTATATATTCACTCCATCTATAATAAATAATAATCCACGTATTCTTTAAAATATAGGTTAATTAGTCTGATGTTACTTAGTCTGGCACCAGATGCTAATTCAAATAAAAATATATGGGCACAAGTTCGTTGAATTAAGTTAATTTGCTTAATTCAGTGTTCATTTTTCTGGTTTCAGAAATATAAAGTAGAATTCTTTTTCTGAAATGTTCCAAGATATTGGCTGACTCCCATGGTTTCTGTCCATTTGGTAAGATCAGGCAGAGCCAATATGATTTGGGCCCTTTCAATCAATAGACCCATCTGTTTGGACCCAGATCTATGACTTTTCTGTCACATCACCTGTTCTATGGAGTGATATCCCTCCAGACATCATGTAGCTCCCACCCCAAAGGTGGGAGATGTTCCCCCCTTAATGGGTAGTGTGCCTATGGAGACTTGTTGATTGTTTTCTGTTGTGTATCTGGATGCATTGCATTTCCTTTCTATTGGTATCCAGTTCTGGAGGTAGAATGGTTACTTCTGCTTCTAATTCTACTTGAGGATTATTACTGCATTGGGTAGGCAATGCAGTATCTACAGGTGTTACCTGGTCTTATGCAGAAGGGCTTCATCTTGGGATTTGCAGACATTTTTGGATTTTATGTATTTTTATATTTCATGTTCAG